CTATAGTGATCAGTGCCCATTTTTTCCCTTTAAACATCTCTTTTAGCTTTAGTTTTAATACCCTTGGTCTGTAATAGCCCCACTGCAGCCTATCACTTATGTGGAAAACCTGGGCAGGGGTCTCTGTGATTGAGAACTGGAAGCAGTGTCTGGGACCTGTGTTAGACCATGCTATTATAGGATTTGAGAGAATTTGTGGAGGTGAGAGCCTTCACTGTGGGGTTTTAGGGGAACTGATGAGAACCTTTCCGGAGAAGTCTAAGGCAAGGTTGTGAGAAATAGAGGCAGCAAGTGAGAGGGGAGAGAGTGTAGCTGGGATGTGCTGATACCCTCAACTGCTTCTCCTTCTTGCCCAGGAGGAAGAAGGCACATCTAACCTTGAATTGGGGTGAAGCTGGCTGGATTCTAAATTTTTCTTCTTGAATCTGGCCTTTATCATCTTCCTTCTAGCAGCCCATGGATGTCCAAGGGAGGTCCCTAAAACAAGTCTAATGTCCAGGGCTGATCATTGTGCTCTGAACTAGGGAGAGCCAGGCCACCCCAGGCTCCTCAGGTGGGCTTTCTCTCCATCACCAGCCTCTCTGGGTACCAGAGCTGGCACCCTTTACCCTGAATCCCAATGCTGTCTGGGACCTTGGATATCAATTTGTCTCTGGGCTATAGAAGTTAGCGTGTAGACAAGTACATATCAAGAGGGCCTTTATGCTGTCTCGAGCTCAGTACCCTGGATGTTACAAAAGGTCAAAAGCCAACATTTATTGTCACTATGTGCCAGGAACTTTATAAACAGTATCTCATTTATTTCTCTAACAACCTGAAGAGGTAGGTATTATTAGATCATTATTTTTTAAATTAAATTTTTATTTTAAAATTATTTTAATTGAAATATAATTAACATATAACATGATATAAGTTTAAGGTGTGCAATGTGTTGACTTAATACATTTATGTATTGCAATATAGATCATTATTCTTATTTTACAGAAAAGAAATATATATGTATGTAATTACCTGAAGTCAGGTAACTAATAAGTGGTGGAGCCAGGATTTGAAGACAGTTTAACTTCAAAGCCTTTGCTCTTGATCACTACACTAACATGGGGTCCAAGATGAAACTAGCCTTGAAGGGAGTGAAATGCAGGTAGCAGGGGGTTGAGGATTTAAAGGATCTGACATGTTGTCTTTCACTGAACATTGATTTTATGGGTGTTTTATATACTCTAGTTCATTTAATCTTCATAACAACCCCTTGAGGCTAATTATGTTATCCCTACTTTATTGATGTGAAAAGTGAGGCTCAAGGAAGTTAAGTGACTTCTCCATAATAGCCCAGCTTTTGAGTGACAAAGCCAAGACTTGAACTCAGGTGGACCCTAACTCCTAACTGCTAGGCCTCACCACCCCTAGAGGAGCTCCACTTGCTGTCCCCAGGCCATGGAGGACTCAAGGGCAGAAGAAGAGCTCCATTGCCCTCTTGAACCAGTCCACCCCCATTATCCCAAGGGTAGCTAGAAAGGGTACAGCTGCCTGGGCTTCTGACATCCCTGGATGGGGAGTGGGGGTATAAGGTCCCCATGTGTGAAGACTCAGAGTCTTGGACATCAGATCTTGGTTTGCTGAGCTCAGGGAGTCACTTGGCATCTTCTAGGTGTCCATGGGGCTGGACAGGAGCTTCTGTCAGCCCTGCCTGGAGGAAGAGCAGTGAGCCCTGGGCTGTAGCCATATCTGGCACTGCCTTTCAGACCAGGCCTGCAGTCTACATTTCCTTGTTGCCCTTCTTCACCTGCCTCTCCCAGAGTCCTTCAATCATTAGAGTCCTGGCAGAACCACCTACTTTCAGCCTCTATTCAGCCTACAGATCAAACTGGAGCCTGATAGCTCTGAATCCCATGCCCCCGAGTCCCTCCCCAAAGCAGGGGAGGAGTTCAAAACATACTATTATCAGTCTGACTTTTTCTGATATTTTTGTTTCCCCAGCTCAGACCTGATAAATAGATAGGTGCTACTCAGGGTTTTGAAAAGTTTAGGAATCTCCTCTGATGAGGTCCCCTTGGTGTGTGTGGATTTAAAACACTGGGCATTATGCACTCCCCACTCCCCATCTTCCCAGAAGTCTGTGCCAAAAGGCAGCAGGATAATGACTTTGCTACTACCCCAAATTGGAAGCCAGAGGCTTGGGCATACTGGTTTAAGTTTTTTGTTTTTTTTTTAATTAAGATATTTTTCTTTTTAAAATAGATAAAAAATATTAGGTACGTTTGAAATTGAAATAAAACAAGAATGTAGGAAGTGAACACTTCTCTTTATTAGGCCTTCAGTCCCATCCCACTCTCCTCACAAGATCATCACTGGTTACCATTTGGTGCAGATCTTTCCAGTCTTTATTCTTGTGTATGTTTTCCTTTTCTTAAATAAAAATGGAATCACTCTATAAATAATATTTTAGCACTTGCTTCTTCCCCATGATACAGCATGGACTTCTTTTACAACAAGAATGTTTGTACATTATATGTATAATTTTAAAATTTAAAATTAAACAATGAAAAATGATGACTATTTTCCCTGTGTCATTAAATATTTTTCTACAATATCATGTTTAATGGCTCCATGGCATTGTGTGAACAGACCATTATGCATCTAACTAATTCCCCATTCATGCTGTTTTCCGAGTCTTATAGACAAAGCTGTCACAAATGTCTGTCCATATATCTGTGTGTATGTGTGCAGTTCTTTCTGTTGATTGAATCCTTGGAGGGGAATGGCTTGGTCAAATGGTGTCAAAGTACATTACAGAGGGCCAGATTGCCCTCCAGAGGGCTGAGGGGACTCCGAATCAACTCCCTATTCAACTTCTTCATCCTTCCTTGTGCTCAGTTTTCTTCTCTGTAAACTGGGAAGGCAATAGTATTGTACCTACCTTGGAGATACCATGATGATTATATGAGAAAAGAAAGGCAAAGCGCTTGTTTGGCAAATGTGTCAATACTTACTCAGTCACAGCCATTATTCAGTACTATTGGGGCTTTGAGTTCTTTTGGGCTCTTCCTTGTTTCTTTGGTGAGGATAATGCTTACAGTTTCTTAAGGCTCACAGCCACTAGTGGCAGTGGGACGAGTGCAACAGAGAACAGAGCCTGGAAGCAGAGTAGCTTTGTTTTTACCCTGGTGGAAGCTCTAACTCCAGTTTGCCCTTCCTCATGCAGTTAATGCTGGCAGAAACAAAGGAAGCCAGGGGTTCTAGTCTCTATCCTACCTTACAGGAGATGGTACAGCTTCAATGAGCACAGGGTAGGGCCCAAGAAGAGGTAGCTTCAAAAGAAAGGTCCAGCTGAATCCAAAGTTCTCCTTCTTGGACACTGGACAACCTCCAGTTCAGGCCCTTCCTCACTGGGATAGAGGTCTTCAAGGCTTTTGGAAGAGATAAATAGCTACTCCCAACTCTTAGACCCAAGCAAGGCCTGTGGACCCAGGAGCCTGAGCTTTGATGGTGGCTGGTTAGTGGGAAGGGCAGAGCCAGCGAGGGCTTCAAACTGGAGCTTTAGGTCAGCAGGGTCAAAGGCACTGAGCATCTTTAGGGAAGGGACAGATGGTCCTGAAAGGACAATGGAGGACATTTTGCTGAGTCCAGCTTTGAAGGAGGCTGGTCTGCCCCCCAACCCTCTTTCCATAAGAAAGATAATTGGAGACGATAATTTCATCCTACTTATGTTTATTGTTGCCAATATGTCCCCCTCCACCTCCGTTATATTTACACTAAACCCTTACCCCCAAGCTAACTTTACCAAAGTTCCTGGTAGTAGGTCCAGAAGTGTGTCCATTAAGCCGTCAGTCCTAGATGTAGTAGGTACTGTTTGTCCCTGAGCCAGTTGGGCCCCGGGGAAGTGTTACTCCAGAATTGAGGGCACAGATTTGGTACTGGCACCAAGGGAGACCCCCATCAATAGATGCTATCCCTCTCCTTCTGGAGCTCAGGGTACATCAAAACCTTTAGCAAAGCAAAGTTGGGGTAATGGATTCCCTAATACCAAGTCTGTGCTTTCCTTGCTTGTAAGGACCCACACAAGAGGCCAAGCCTGGGCCCAGATCTGCATCTGGCTTCTGAGGAACCATTCTGTTCTTGGAAGCCAGGCTTGACCATCTGCCATCAGCCTTGAGGGAAGTGTCATTTGAGGGGGCCACGAGTGGAAAGAGAGGGTGCACATTGTATGAGGTATGGGCATTGTCTTAAGCTGGAGAAAGTTGCAGCTTGGCCTGAGTTATGTACAGAGGTATAGAACTGATGAGCAGGAAATGGCATTTCATTTGGGAGCCCAAGGCCCCGCCAGCCCCCTCAGTAAACCCCACTGGTATCCTGGGCCGCAGGTAACAAGAGAACAGACATTTAATGTCACAGAATGTCAGAGTTGGCAAGGCCCTCAGCGTCTATCCATTCTAATCTTGGCCAGGTCTAGACCCAAATTGGTGAAGGCACTTGATTCATGTTTAGTGATTTAGTGGCTAAATATCCCTGAAAGTTAAGGAGAAGGAAAGTAGGAAAAGTACATGTGGTTTTCTTGAAACCTTATTGAAGACAATCTGGATTTACCTGTGATCAATTAGAATCTTTTTAAATGGCCAGCTTCCTTAGGGTCCTGAGACTGATCTGAAACACTTCATCTCCTTTTCAGGAGCAGTGCTACAGGGGAGGGTGCTGTGGGGGTGAGAAGTGTTTGGAGGCCTTGGTGGTGAGATAAACAAGTGGAGTGACCCCTCAGTGACCCACTTGCTGTGGCTGCGGCCAGAGCAGGTTATACTGTCAGTAGCTGGTGGAAAGAGGGGGCTGGGCAGGTGTGACATGCCTTCAGCAGCTCCTTATCCACTTCAGCCAAGCCTGCAGAGCTCTGGCCAGTTTCTGTGGTCCTAGGTGCCATGGGAGGTGGGGTGGGGAGAGGAGCAGAGCCAGGCTAGGCACAAGTCCTCTGCCAGTCCTCCAGCCCAGGCCACCTTAGGAAGCCGGGACCCCTCCATGCTGCCTATGCTGCTTGGGCCCAGCCTTGGCCCACCACCAGCTCTGCTCAAGGTGCCCCAGCCAGGGAGAGGCTCTGCAGCTGTTCCTCAGCACCTGCCAGCTCGGCCTCATCACGCCCACTCTCTGAGCCCTCGAAGCAGCCTGAGTCACGTGGGATGTCCCACTTGGGGTCTGACATGGTGTGCACCACTGGTTCCTGACTGCTATCGGTGCCTTCTTCTGCTTCCTCGCTGCCAGCTGCCAGGGGCGAGAACGGGAGATGGAATATGGGGTTTTGGGCATTAGAAGGAAGGGGTTCAGAAGCCCCAGGGAGCTCTGTGTGGTAATAGGGACCCTAGGGGTAGGGACACTGTAAGCAGTCTCTCCATCTGGGCACCCACCAGCACCTCTGCTCTTCTCATGGTTTTTCCAGGCCCAGGATCTCAAAAGTCTTCAACACTAAGCCAGGAGCGAGGAAATCTGCACCTGAATCCTCGCTCTGTCATTGCCTAGCTTTTAGACCTCAAGTAACTTCTTTGTCTTCCCTGGCCTTAAATCTACCCTTGGATCCCAAAGGGAGTGGGACCTGATCGTCCCTAAAACCCGTTCTCCCCACAAATTTTGCCTGAGACTGGAGTTAAGATGTGGAAAGTGCCTTCTCACTACACAGGGCCCTAGGGCAGAGGCCTCCCCTTTGTGGACCACCAGTGGGCATCCCCACCCAGCTTCTAAACCCACTCACTGTCATAATCCAGCAGCAGCTCTGCAGCAGTGAGGAGCTTGGCCCGGTGCTGTGGGTCTGTGATATTCAGCTCGTTGAGGTGTGTTTCCCGCAGCTCCTTGAAGTCCTCCAGGGTCTGGTAGCCATTGAGCAGCAGGGTGGATGTGTGCTCCTGTGGGCAGAAGCAGGCCACCAGTTAGGTCATTTACAAGCCACCCCACCCCAACCCCTGGCCCAATCCGGGCCTCCCAACATAGCTGGCAAGCCCTAGCCACAATCCCTGGGGCAAGGGTGCCTCCCTTGATCCTAGATGCTAATGCAGGCCTAAGCTCAAACCTCCAGACCAATGCGTTCCAGCAGCTCATGCAGGGTCTTGGGCTTGGGCCTCTTGCCCTTGCTCTGTCGGCGGCTGGGGCGGGCAGGCCCCACAGCCTCCTCAGGCAGCACATCCACGTAGATGAACTTGAAAGAGCCCAGCCTGCCATTGAGTAGGCCCAGCCATGTGCCCACAGGTGGCTTTTCAATGATCTGGATCACATCACCTTTCTGTGGGAGGAGAGGAGAACAGAGTAGATTAGGAGAGAGATGAAAGGTGGTCCTTTGTCCTCTGCTGACACTGTCCTACCCTGGCCCAGTCCAGCCCCCTTTATGTGTGCAGCCTGCTAGGCTCAAGTGGGGCCTGTATGCCAATCTTACCTGTAGTTTCAGTGAGTCATGGTCATAGGGGCTGGGAGTGAAGTCGGTGTGGACTCGGGCTCTGCCACAGAAAGGTCCTGTGTACTGGGGGGCAGGTGGTTCCTCCCCACAGCTGCCAGAGCCTGGGATGGGGCTGCAGAGCTCACTGCCTGCAGGATATGGGGCAAAGAAGAGAGTCATTTTTGTCCCAGGACAACTGGGGCTATGCCCGGCAGGTGTCTTGCAGGGGATTTGTCTAGGAGTCCCAGGGCTACATGTTAGGGAATAAACCTGGGTGTTGCCCAGTCTCACATTGCAGGGGGGATTCTGACCTATCCCCTCAGCCACCCTGCAGGAGCACAGCTTCACTTCTGAGGCCTTAAACATGAGAACAGTTGACCACAGGAGAAATGGTTGAGTCCAAAAACAGGCAAATTGGGAGGGCCTCTAGAGACCAAGTGGGCCAACACTCCAATGAACAGAGGAGGAATACTGAGGCCAGACGGGAAAGTGGCCTGCCCAAGTCCTCTCCACTTATAATTGGCAGCACTAGGTCTGTTACACTCTAGGTCTCCTGGCTCCCACTCCAGTGCTCCCTCCACCCAGTAAAGCCACACCTTGCATTAATATTTTACTTTTTTCTTTTTTACTTAATAAGGCTCAATGTCTAGTTACCTGGAAATTCAGATGAACTGTTTTTTCTCAGGGAAGGGTAGGATGAAGTTTATTTTAAGTGGTTTTCAGTGTGTGGGGTGTCAGAGTTCTAGGGAACCAGAGAAAGATGAGGGAACTTGGAACTAGCCTGAGGGATGGGAAAAGCAGTGCCTCTGAAGGTTTGCAGCCCAAAGGCTGCATCCCCTCATTTAGGTGGGGCTGCCAGAACCTCCTGCCTAATCCCACAGACATCCAAAAGATGCCAAGTGGTGCCCTAAGACCAGCAATCTGAAGTCTGGGGTCCAAGAGGCTGAGTCTTCACAGTTGGAGACTCTATACTCCCTCCCTATCCCATATGTATGCATCTAGGTGTCTAGGCAGCTGTAACCTCTAGCTGTCGTTGGAAGGGTGGGGTTGGGCTGGTTCAAGAGGGCAAGGGGGCCCTTTCTCTGCCCTTGAGCCCTCCAGGGTCTGGGTACAGGTAGTTGGAGATCCTTTATGGCATAGCTGAATTCAAGACTGGGCTACCTTGGCCAAGTCACTTAATCAACCTGAGCCTCAGTTTTCATATCAATAAGGTGGGGATAATAATAGTACTGGACCCATGAAGTTGTGAAGATTTAACATGAAGAGGGTTGGGAAAGTTCCCAGCAGCAAATCATAAATGTTAATTCTTCTTAGCCACCTCCCAGACAATCAATCAGCTTCATGGCACTAACCCAGTCCTTTTTTCCAGACTCAGCAGGTGTCTCTTTACCTACCCTACTCACCTGTGGATGCTTGGCGGCTGAGTGCTGGGAGCTCACGTTCTTCTTGCTCAGAAAAAGATAGTGCCATCTTTTCAGGGCCAGGGCTATCCAGGCTGCAGTCTGGAGATGTCGGGGAGGCTGAGCCTTCCTCCAGAGTGTCTCCCTGCAGGGGAGGGGAGATAGGAAGCCCAGAGCAGCCTCAGTTGGGGTGCATGCGGGGCAATGCAGGTGCAGAGAAAATAGACCTGGGCTTGACAGAGAACTGGCCCTTGGCTGGAACCCCAGCTCTGCTGCTTACAGGTGGCATGGCACTTTCAGACCCTAGTTTCCTCTTTTGCAAGGTAGAAATGACAAGTCCTTGCCCTGCACAACTCACAGATTCAGGGGCAACTGGGGTGCCACATGAATGTGGTTTGTCAGCTTAAAGTGCTGATGTACATACAGAGAAGTTTCGTACCAGAGCTTGGATTTGAGCTGTTGCTGGGACACAGTCAAGCAGACAGTGGCACTGAAGAGTTACTACTTTTGAGTATGCTCCCATGTGCCAAGCACATCTGTCATTTCATTCAGTCCTCATTTGAGGATAAGTGCTTGATTGTCCCAAGTCTGTAGATGAGCAGTAATGGAGGAAAATTCCCAAGGCCATGCACAAGGCCCCATTCAAATTTGCCTGACTCCAGAGTACCCTTGCCTCACTATACCTCAGCGTGGAGGTAACTCTTCCACAACTGGCTCTCTGGGAGTAAAAGCTCTCATGCGTACAGGTCACCAATTCCTGTGCTGTAAATACTCCCCACCGTGGCCAATGTCATGCTACCACTGTGACGTTGCTGACCAAGCAGCATATCATCATAGGCTATTTCTTCTACATAGAGACTATAGACACAAATAACCTCAGGGGCATAGAGAATAAATAAAATCAGTCCAAGAATTACAAAGTGATGAATTTTGAGGATTGACTGTATTGTTTATTTTAATAAATTTATTTAATTCTAAGTTGATATAATTTAAATTTCAATATGTTACATGTCATACACGACTCACAAAATTCTTGATAATTTGGCCAACTGCTGTCCTGAGCTGGTATGAGCCAGCACTAGCTGACTCCAGCATACCACTGTCTTGGAGCCTCCTATAAGAACCACGAGCACACCAGACTCAATGTGTGACTTCAGCTGCTTGGCTATGCCTGCCCAATACCTGTCTGTTGTGCACTCCCTCCATGGGCCAAAGTTATCTTTCTCTAATTTTTTCTCAGAGGGGCTCCTCTTTGAATCAAGCCTTCCCAATCCTAGAGGCTAGTTCCCAACAAAACTTTGAGGTAGATGAATTTGCCTCAGGTGATATCATCTCCTTTGCAACTTCCCACTCTCCTCAAGATTGTCTTCTCTGAAAGCTTCTGTTACTCCAACTTTCATCCCTCTTTAGACCTCTACCCCTGGTCTGTCTGGACCATGGTGTCTTGCTGCCATGTCCATGGCTGAGTGAGCTCCCCTCCTATGTGACCTTCCTTCCCATATTTAATTGAGCCTTCAGGCATGATATCTGAGCATTGGTTGTCAAGGCAGCCATGCTCACACCTTGTCCGAGCAGTGCCTGTCCTCCCTGTCCCCATCCTTCCCCTGGATCCCAGGCCTCACCATCTCCTCTGACAGGGCCTTTACCATCATCTTGCCCATCTTCCTGTTCATGGTTCGGGAAATCACGGCCCTCCACTTCTTCCCCAGCTTCTTGCCACTTTTCCCAGCATCCTCTTGGGTAGGGACACTTGAGTCATCTTCTGGAATCTGTGACAACAAACATAGGGTCCAGGAACCCTGGTGACTCTGCCTAAGTCCAGGAGTTTGGAAAAGAAAGAAGACTTTGGGCTTCAACAGAGGGTGGAGGGCTGGGAATGGGAAGATCCTGTCCCCTTCCTTCTTAGCTGCAGCCTTGTCTTCAGCCTTATTAATTTGTAAGTAATTTGTAACTAATTTTTAACTAAAACCAATGCAGGTGAGTTCTTGGGGCCCAGGATTTTGGTGGGTAGGAGAGGTGGACCTTCTGTATTAAGGAGACTTAGCCTTAACAATCCTAAAATTTCCTCTTTCCCCTCCTTTCTCCCTCCCAGTTAATCCCTTGCCAATGACCTGCAACCAGACGCCACCACCACCACCCTCAAGGAGGCTCTGAAACTCACATTATCATCCAGATTAAATTCCTTCTCGCTCACCACTGGGGAGCTGGGTTTGGATTTGGCAAAGTCCTTGAAACTGCTGGAGCGCTGGAGTGATAGCTGGAAGAAGCAGAGGTGTTGCAATCAGTGATGCTAAAATGGTTGGTTGAGTAAGGAGCTGTCCCCATTCCCAACACACACATGTACATACCCCAGGACTGGACAGAGCCACGTGTACCCTGAGGTGCCAGGACTAACAAGGTAAAACACCAAGATGTCCTTGGAGATACCTGGCTTCATCCTGTCCTCCAGCAGAGAATGGCCCTTAATGCTGGCCTCAGAGCAAGCTCCTGACCTCAAAGCTTTTTAGCTCAGTTAGGCCTCAGACTAAGCCCAAATTTCCACCAGTACCTGAGGTTTGGCCTCAAGAACCCTGAAGCGAAAGACTAAATGAATTAGAGTAAAGATATTTCCTACTAGAGATATACCTCGGCATGAACAATAGCATCACCTTTATGTAACAGAGCAAACCCTCCCAAAATCCACAGCCCGGTCTCAATGCTCTGGGCCTGCTCCAAGAATGGCCTCCTGTCACAGTGATAGCAGTAAACACATTAGGGCCCCTTGCCTGGTGAATCTGTGTCCCGAGAAGAGCAAAACACTCCCCCCAGGAGTCAGTAAGATCTGGCATTAAGCTTTCTGGAAAACCACAGTAGAGGCAGTCAGAGAAGGTGCCCACAGATTTAAGACACAAATGATTGGCAGTAATTTAGCAAAAGGAAGCTGCCATTTTCTTTCTTCACCTCAGCTTTTAACCTTAGCCGCTAATGTGAAGAGCTGGCTACTGTTAACAGGCACTGGTCTTTGGACTTTTTGGTCTGACATATTGTTTGTGCTGATGAGACTGTTTTCAGGAAATAAGCTTTCTTAACTGTATATATGTGCACATGCCAGGACAGCCGCAGAAACCAGGGTTGGGCAGGTAATGAGGGCAAGCTTTAAACAGAAGAAGTGAAGGCTGAGCTTGAATCAAGATCAACAGTCAAGACCAGAGATACACACAGGAACCAGGGTTCACAGATGGCCAGACAGATAGAGCGGGATAGACTGCACACACCGGAGATAAGGTCTTGAGGAACCAAAGCTCCAAACCCGCACAAAGCTGAAAGTTTCACATCCTCTTTCCTATGAAGGAGTTGGGGGGGGGGTGTCCAGTGACAACCTCTCAGGGCAGGGGCAGTATCACCTGCCTCCCAACATACACACAACTGGCCCCAACTCCTGGGGACTGCAGTGCAGCACCTCTGTTTTCTTGGTAGCTCCTGACCAAAAGCAAGTCAGTAATCAAGGTCAAGAGCCATACCTTCCTAGAGGATACACCAAGCTAGCTGACCAGAAACTAGGTCAACAGTCAGGCTAAGTAGCCACTACAACCACGAGGGCCTCCTGGGTGGGGCACCTGCAGCCTCTACCAGGAAGCCTCTTCCATGCTATGTTGGGGAGCCAGAGAAGGAGGCCACAACTGGGGAAGGGAGCACATGACCATGGGGTGGTTGCTCTGATTCCCATATATCCCTTCCACCCTCCTTTGTTGGTTTTTCCCACCCACTATTCTTCCCTCTTTTTCTCCCTTTCTTTCCCCTTTTCTCCTCCGCTTTCTGTTGGTTTCCTCCTCTTGTATGGCTAGGATGCAGCTGCCCCAATAACTTCCTCCTGATACTGCCTGGAAAAGAAGGAACAGAGAGAGGGTGGGCAACAGACTGGACTGTTATTTATAGGCCAATGGGGTCTATCGTGACCTTCTACCCATCACCTCTATGCCTGATTTGCAGACCAAGAGGCTTAGAGTTGCCCCAGAAACCCCAGGGACTGGCAAGTCTGGAAAGCAAGCAGGAGGGCCAGCGTGGGGCCGGAAGTGAGCTTTGTTGGGACAGAGTAAACTCACTGCCAGGCCTCCCTCTAATCGCAGTTCTTTCCTTTTCCTGTCATTAATCTGCAGTCCTGGGAGTGTGAGGGGGGCCTCTGGCCCCTGAGACCTTGTTTCAGGGCTCCCGTGTCCCAGCTTTAGCTCAAAGTAGAGGAAACTATTGAAAAGGGCCGTGGGGGTAGTGCTGGGACTTGGGCCCAGCTGGCGTATCCTCAGCTGAAGGACATGGAAAGGAATGCATAGTTATTCAGGTGACTAAGTGGAGGGGCTGGCCAGAGTGGCCTTTTCCCAGCCTATCTCCAAACTCAGGTGTAGCCCTAAATATCCTGAATGCCTTCTAGTATCTCTGAAGTAACACCCCATCCAGGTATGAGTTGAAATCCTTGAGCTTCCAAATTTCCTGCCTGGCCTCCGTTTGGTGTGAGGCTTTCCTGGGGGTCCTGCCCAGGGTGGTGGTAATACCAAACATCATTTTTCATGTTTAAGAAGAATATATGGACCTCCCGGAATGAATTACTTTTCTGGTGTCAGATGTTTCTGACTTCAACTCTGAGATGTGTGATCTTCGGTGAGGTATTTAACCTCCCTGGATCTCAGTCTCTTCATTTGGTGTCAGCCTGCAAAGGTTCACATCTTGGTTCTGTCATTGACCAGCTGTGTAAAGCTGGGTAAGTTCCTTAACTCCTCTGGGCTTCCGTTTCCTCATGGGTAAAATGAAGACAGCAGGACCTACCTCACTGGGTTGCTGTGAGGATGAAAGGAGTGAGTGCTTGACATAGCCACCACACAGCAAATGTCCAAATGTGTGTGTATGGCTTAGCTCTTTCTATAACCCACCTCCAGGCTCTTACCCAGGGCATTCCCCACCTGGAACACTCCACCCTTCACCTTGTCAACTGTATTTTCTCCCCTCCTACGAAATCAAATTTAACTGAAAACCACCCACATGCTCAACTGTAGAATGGATACATGAATAGTGGCACAGTCTTGCAAGGGGCTAGGACATAGTGATGAGCTTAGTACAGCCCTCCCCAACAATATGGATGAATCTAACAAATACATTTTTGAGGAGAAGGGGCCATCCACTAGAGTATACTATATGCTTCCTCATATAGAAAATTAAAAACCTGGCAAAATTAATCTATGTTGTTGGAAGTCAGGATAGTGGTCATCCTTGGGGAAAGAAGGTGTGTAGTGACTGGCAGGGGCATGAAGGAAGCTTCTAGAGTGTTGAAAGTACTGTTTCTTGATCTGGGTGCTGCTTACATGGGGACGTTCATTATGGAAATTCACTGAGTGGAACACTTATGATTTATGCACTTCTTTGTACAAATATTATACTTTAATAAATAAGTTTTACAAATCTAGTTTTAAAGGTACTATTCCTTGCAGGAAGCCTCCCCTGGTTACCCTCTCAAAACCTCGCAATGGCCCTGTCTGGTGTGGCTCAGTGGACTGAGTGCTGGCCTGAGAACCAAAAGGTCACCGGTTTGATTCCCAATCAGGGCATGTTCCTGGGTTGCAGGCCAGGTCCCCGGTAGAAGGAGTGTGAGAGGCAACCACACATTGCGGTTTCTCTCCTTCTCTTTCTCTCTCCATTCCCCTCTCTCTAAAGATAAATAAATAAAATATCTAAAAATCTCAAAAAACCACCATGAGGTACCACCTCACACCGGTCAGAATGGCCATCATAAACAGATCCACAAACAACAGGTGCTGGCGAGGCTGTGGAGAAAAGGGAACCCTAGTACACTCTTGGTGGGAATGCAGACTGGTGCAGCCACTGTGGAAAGCAGAGTGGAATTTCCTCAAAAAGCTGAAAATGGAACTGCCTTTTGATCCAGTGATTCCCCTGCTGGGACTATACCCTAAGAATCTGAAAACGCCAATACAAAAGAACCTATGCACCCCATTGTTCATAGCAGCACAATTTACAATAGCCAAGTGTTGGAAGCAACCTAAATGCCCATCAGTAGATGATTGGATCAAAAAGTTATGGTACATATACACAATGGAATACTACGCAGCAGAAAGAAAAAAAGAACTACTACACTTCGCGACAGCATGGATGGAACTGGAGAGCATTATGCTAAGCGAAATAAGCCAGGGGGCAAAAGACAAATACCATATGATCTCCCCTATAAGTGGAACCTCACCAACAATACAAAGATGCAAGTAAAATAAGACCAGCAACACTGAAAGGAAAAGAAATCAACAGAGACAAGAGGGAAGGAGGGGAGGGGCGGGGAAAGGGAAGGGAAGGGGAAAGTCAAGGAACATATAGCAAGGACTCATGGACAAAACCAAAGGGGAAAAGCTGAGGGAGGGGAGGAGAGAGGGGGCAAGAGAAAGTGGTGGGGGGTAGGCAGAGACAAATGTATTTGAAAAAATAAATTAAAATAAAAAAATAATAATAGAAAAAAAAACTTACAATTCCCTCATTGGCATCTTCTTCCCTTGCTTCCTAAGCAACGTTGACTTTCCCCGGGTGTCTCCACAATTACACTTTCAACTCATACCAGTCATATACCTAGCACCCTCTGGTTTCCAGGTTAAATACCTCCCCTGTGCCTGGCACCCTGTCAGGTGCTTTGTGTGTGCTAGTTCACTCCAACCTCACCACAGCCCCATCTTACATATCACTTTCAGATCAGGAGACTGAGACTCAGAGAAATGAAGTGCCCTAGGCAGAGATACACAGCCGGCAGCAGAAAGAGCAGGGGTTCGAACCCATGTCTGTGACTGGAAGCTTGTGCATGTTGCTGTGCTCAGAGCTCACAAAGTCACCACCCCCCTCGCTATAGAAATTAATTGAGTGCAATGTGACTTCAGGTGGTGTTTGGAGGGAGCTACAAGGGAGAGCAGGTGGGAGTATGGAGGAGGAAGGGCTCAGGAGGGATTCATGGAGGAGGTGCATTTGAGCTGCTCCATCAGAGCAACCAAGATTTCTCCAGGAGTTGCTGGGGATAGTTTATTTATTTTTAATTTTTTTTGGGGGGGATAGTTTAAATGACAGTGAGTTAGGAATGTTCTAGTGTGGCAATGGAATGGTGGGTATGCCAGGGTATGTGGTGGGAGACCAAAAACTTCTATGGAAAACCCTTGCCAGCTATGCCAAGGAACTTGGGCACTAGCTTGTGGGCAATTAGGAGGCACAGAAATACAAAATGCATGCTAGTAGGGGTGTCCTGCTAGAGATGTTTTGTAGGAAGGGAGCCAGGGAGATGTAGTGTGCTGGTATTGAAAGAAAGAAAGGCAGGGAGAGACTGTAAGGAGGGAACACTTGGACACTAGAATGGGAGCCTAGATTCTCTCCATTTTCCTTGGCAGATTTGGAGCGAGGTGGAAAGTAGGGGTGCGATCCCAGGACAACCTCCGACACCCTAACAGATCAAAGGGAGTACAGAGAGAGACCTTGATAGGCAAAAATCCTCCAAGGGGTATGTTCCCATCCCCAACTCAGGGGCTTCCCCAATCCTTCATGATGATCAATAGGTGCCACATCCTGATCCTATCACCCTAGAGGACCTGCTCCTGCTTTTGCTCTGCTGCCTGGAAGGTTCTTCAATCAACAGCCATCTGGGTCTTCCCTGCAGGGCAATCTCAATGATGGATTGAGTCTTTCATTCTTATTAGATTCATCTAGTGTTTTTGAGAACAGTAGGGGACAAGAGAGTACAGGGAGAAGGGATTAACATTTTGGAGACTGGCAAATCTTGGCTTGGATTTCTGCTCTAGCAGCTTGCTAGTTGTGTGACCCTGGGGAAGTCACCAAGTCTCAAGCATAAAACAGGGATACAGACAATATCTGCCTCTAACTCCCAAGGTTGTCTTGAGGAGCCAAGGAGCTAAGAGATGGGTGAAGCACACAGCACAGTGCCTGGAACCTGATGAGTTCTCAGTGCTGGCTCTTAATGCTATTAAGTCTTGTTTTCTCCACTTCAGGGCTGGGACCCAGGCTTGTTCTTCTTTGCCATGTGCTCCCCCCACCCATGTCTACAGCATGCACCGCCTCCCTTGTATGCATATGTACACATTCGACAGAGCCCTCTCACATTTATTGTCCCAGGTGATCGACATAACCTCCTAAGGTGGACAGATCAGGAGCTATCTTCCTTTTCAGAGATGAGGAAACTGAGGCCCAAAGAAAGTTAATGAACTGTCCAAGGTCCTACAGCTAGAACTTGGTAAGATTCCAACTTTGCTTTCTTGTTCCCTGCACAGTATTTTCTCCATTTGGCAAGCCTGGGAGGAGGAGCAGGGCAGGAGAGAGAGGCTTTGTTTGTCTTTGTGTGGTTTTGTGCTTTTCCTTTCACCATGTCACTTTACCCCCCTAGGGAAGGGACTGGCTAAGGGTCACAGTGCTGGATCCGGCTGCTACCTCCAGGCCCAGGGAAGATTCTACCTTCTGGAAGCATACCTTGGTTTCTTAAGAGCATTCTCAATGTTTGGGGCTTGAAGAGTAGCTCTGGAGGCTAGTCCAGGATATGGCAGGGAGGAGTTGCTTTGCCTGGCCCACCTTACCCTAGAGGACCACATGAGGTTTGCCTCTCCTGGGGGAAGTCTGGGGAAAATTCCAGAGGCTCAGCGGCCAAGCACTGAATTGGGATAATGGAAAGGAGGAAAGAAGACAAGGACTACTGGCTTCTGTGTGCTCCTGACACCTCTTCCTGAGGTGGCGCAGGGCCCTAGTGTAAAAGTGTCAGCTCTTTCTCAGACTCTTTCCTCTAGCTCAGCTCCCCTGTGGTTTGAGGCCCAGCAGTGTTGAGAGCAGTCTCAGCTTCCCATCTGCATTAGGCAGAGAGCAAGGGGAAGCAGACCACTTGCCAAGGAGAGACAGCCAATGGTAAGTTTTCTGCTGTGCACGGTTTGAACAGGCAGGTAACAGGGCCTGTGAAAAACTAATGAATCTCTTCTTCATCCCTGACCACCTCCACTGCAAGCATAGAGAAGCACCTGGGGTGAGGAGAGTATAGCCGGAAGTGGCAGCCACCCTAGGACCTGAGATGGAGCAGGATGCTCACACTAGAAACCTAAAGCTCAGCCTCTCATCTGGCTCAGCCTTGGTCTAGGAACTGCTCCCCTGACAAAGGGGGACTTGGTCTGAGCTCCAGGAGAAATTGACGGAGCACAGCAAGGGTCTGGAGCCTCTGGACCTTGGTCTGGGGCTAGGTCTGTGCCTCTTGGACCTGGTGGTTCAGGCCTGCTTTGGGATTGTCCTAGGATTCCATTGGCTGTGCAAGATGCACTTGCCAATTGCCTGGGAGAATCCTACAATCAGATCAAAGAATTAAGTCTAGAAATCCTCAAATCCAACTAGAGGAACTTAGGTCAGCAGAGCCTTCAAGGGATTTTCCAAACGGGCCTTTGCTCCAAGAAGAAGAATACCTCAGCTGTCCATGACAGCTGCTTTCCATCTTGGTCTTTAAAATCTCCCCACCATATTTTTCCTCCTCAGCCCCCACTTCTACTCCCCATCTCATCCGCTACATATTTCATTCTTCACAAATAATTTCTCCCCACATTGGAAGAACCTGTATTCCCCCTACATCCCACTGCAGATCTGGAGGCCCTCTGCCCTATTTTCAGGTTGGCCCCATCACCAATAGGCCAGAAGAGCTACAACAGAACTGAATCAAGTGAGAAGAATCCTAGCTACAGCCAAGGGTGGGGTCCTAGGAGGATCATGGCTCCAAGTGGGGTGGCCCAGCAGAACACTTTGAGTGAGATGGTTCTTGAGAGGCCATGCTCAGGCAGAAGTGTCAGCAGGACCAATATGAGGGAGAGACAATTAATATGGCCTAAGGATTCAGCTTGAGAATTGCATTTTGTGGTTCTCAAATTCTAGTCTAGGATTTTAGCCCTTAATTTTAGGTCTCTATCCCATCACTGTAGAGTTGAATTCTGCAACTATAGACTTCTAAGAGTCTGTTATGTAACTCCATTTCTTTAGAATTTTTAAAGTCTCTTTTGTACTTGTGTTACTCTAGCAACATTTGGGCCCCTGTCCCATTGCCCGCGGGAGCCTGTCTGTGCCTACAGGCTCAACGTATGGCCTTTGGCTCTTGCACTTCTATGAGTTGAGGGGTTGGATTATGCGACCAGAGGGAAGGAAAAAGTGATTTCCCAGAGATGCTCCTCACCTTTTTCTTTTGAGTGGGCTCCTTCTCACTGGCGTTGGAGGGCTTGCGGCGCAACATGGTCCCCTGACCTGGTGACACTCCTTCACTACTCTTCTAGGTGTTGAGATGTGAAGGCCTCTTGCTCAGCCTCACCAGCACTGTCCAGGGGGCACAGCATGGACTAAAACTCTGCCTGCAACTCTGACTGCTGCAGTGGCAGCTTGAGGGTGAGGGCCATGGACACGGGCGGCAACAGCATACAGGAAGCACTACCACGTGACTTGCTCTTACAGCAATCGCAGCCCCTGCTGGCCCCTAGGGAGGAAGGAAGTCCTAGCTTCAGTCTCTAGAGATTCTAATACAGACGGCTCTTGGGTTGAACAAGCAGAGAAAAGTCCCAACTTTGCCATATCATGTCAATCATCACCAGTCTTTCCTTCTCTCCAGAGGTGGCCAATCAACTTGACATTATATGACTTACTTGGGCCTTTTATCTCTTTGACGAGAATCTAGAAGCCAGAATATGGACCAAATCTTTGCCTGTGGAGCAAATGCTCTTGGTCACTTATCACCAAGGTCATCACTGCCATCACTACCACTACCATCACCCTTATAACAATCACTCCTTATTTATAGCCATTATCTTTACATTCATCAACCCTCTAGTCATCCCTACTGTCATCAGCACACCTACAGCCATCATCACTACAACAACCACTCCTGCAGTCAACACTCTCAGCCATCAGCCCTACAGTCATCATCATTGTCGCTTTCACCCTTACAATTATCATCCTTACAACTGTCACCCTTACAGACATTACAGCCAGTACTCCCACAATGTACTTACCCCTACAACCATCATGCATACAGCCATTATCCCTATAGCAATCATCCCTCCTGTTATCCCTACAACTGCCATCAGCACTGTTACAGCCATCATTGTTAGAACTACCCTGAGCAAGAAACATCCCTCAGCCAACTTCTTCTATCTGACTCACCACTGCCACTACAACCTGCACAGCCATCATCCTCACAGCCATTACCCTTACAATCACTATTACTACAACCAGTCACTCCCCATACTGATGCTCTCACCCTTAAAATCATCACTTCAACAGTCATCAACCCTACAGCCATCACTTCTCAGTCATCACCCTGTAGCTATCATCCCTATTGCCACCAGAACATCTACAGTCATCTTCACCCGAGCTGTCACACCTTAGAGTCAAAACCTCGTGGCCTGTATATTTACCTGTATATTTATCACCACCACAGCCATCATCATAAAAAAAAGCATTTGCAGACAACTCTATACCACAAGTAAATATCCTGTTCAATAGGCGTTTCTCAAATGACAATGTGCTAAGTTTAGAATGTTCCCTTTGTGGATTGTCTATGGTAGATATTTTAATGACTCCAATGACTTATTATTAATTAAAAAGTAATCCATATTCATCATATACAAGTTAGCAAACACAGATACATACAAAAAAGAAAATTCAAAAATTCTCCATAATTATCTTCCATTCTGTTTGGGTGAATATCTTTTTCTGTTTTTGTGCATTTAACTATGTGTGTGTGTTTTCAAAAACCATACTGCCCAGAAAGCAGATCAGTGGTTAGGGGATAGGGATAGGGTGGAGAAATCAGGAGGAGTACAAGGACCCTTTTGGAGATGATGAATATCTTCACTATTTTGGTTGTGGTGATGGTTTCATGAGTGTATACATGTCAAAACTCAAATTGTACACTTTAAAATAATGTGCTGTTTATTATAGGACAATTATACATAAATAAAAGTGTTTTAATGTATTTTTATTTTGTTTTATTATTTATTGGGATGACATTTGTTAATGTCACCTCAATATTAACCTGTATTAATATGGGTTAATATTAATAATTTAAAAAATTTAAAATGTTATACTTTACAAACCGTGTTGGTATCTGCTTGTCACATTAAACATAATATCATTCAGATTTTCTCATGCTATGAAATATTCTTCAACTACATGATTTTAATGACTGACGAGCAGCCCATTGTATGACTGTACCATGATTATTTCACCAGGCCCCTACTGATGAACTTAGGTCGGCTTAATTTTTTTTTTTAATTTTAGTCTTCATTGCATATCCTTAAGGTAAATATTCACATCCACTATTTTTCCCTAAGGATAAATTTCCAGAAGGGGAATCCCGGAGTAAAAGGTACACATCTTTTTAAAGCTCTCCAATGTGGCAGTTGTGAAATCCCGAGCTGGCCCTTCCCTGTTCCCAAGATGTTCTTGTGACTTCCTCCCTCCTACCTCCTAGCCTGCCCCATGCCCTCCGACCATCCATGGGTTGGGATGAATTCAGGAAAGACAAAGTCCTTCTCTCCCAAGCTGAAACCACACTTCATTGGTTCAGCCTGCCGGGCAGACCCAGGAAAATATAGGCACCCCAGCTGGCTTCCTGGCAGGTTTGCACTTCCAGCCTGAAAACCCCTCGCAGGCCACCCTGGGCCAAGCGTGTAAAGCAAAGAGCCCAGCAACGGTGTGGAGAACCCACGGGGCCTTTGGTGCCCGGCGTTGCTATCAGGGCTGGTAGAGCAGCCCCGCGGGGTGCTGGGTGAGGAACACGCTGCATGGGCCACAGGGCCTCGGGGGCACCTGGGACTATGCGGTCCGTAGCGGCCAAAGAGGGAGCCGCTCGCTCGCAGAACCTTCCTTGTCCTGGCCCGCGAGCAGGATGTGCCCCGCTTCCTGTTTGCTCAGCCCAGGCAGCGAGCTGAGCTCACACTCTAACCGCAGAGTCTTCAAAGGCGGCCATGTAACCAGGCCGCCTGGGAAAAGGCAGCGGGGCGGCTGGTGTGTTAAGGGGACCTCGGAGAAAAGCACAGAGTAGTAGTACAGCGGCATGAACGAAAAGAATGAGGGGTTTCAGCCCCGCCCTCTGTCGGTCGCCTTCTTAGATAAGCTCTGACTCCTCTGGTCAGAAGACCCCGTTCTGGTAGTGCAGGGCTCTCCTATAGGACCTGCCTTCCTCCAGATTTTCTCTCCCAGCAGACTGCTCTGGCCTGGTCGAGCCCCAGCTGACTAATGGGTCCTAAACACCCAAAATAGGTTTCCCTTCTGGGCAACATATTTGCATTTTATAGGTTATGTTCCAGGTACACAGAGCCCTCAGCTGAAGAAGTGATGCAGGTCAGCATTTCACTGAATAAAGTCACCGCAAACTTGATAATGGCCTCGCATGCAGGACCTAGGATTTAGCTCTGGGAAGATTCTCTGCTAGGCACCTTGATATAAATAGCTGTCACGGTTCTCTGCGTCTGGGAGCTTGCATCCTAAGTAAAACAGCAAGCCTGCATTTGCCTGGCACTTGTTTTTGCCAAACACCACATAAATCTCAACACATCCCCTGAGCTAAGTAATTGTCCCTCAGTATCCAAGGGGAGATTGGTTCCAGGACCCTCTACCAATACCAAAATCCAAGGATGTTCAGGTCCCTTAGTCAGTTCTCCCTATCCGTGGGTTCAGCATACATGGCTACAGAGGGTGATTATAGTTTAGACTGGGATTATTATTGCCAAGATGTGCCCGTTATAAATGTGGGGCAGGAGAGCCTTGATTTAGCAACAATATTGCTGTGTGTGTGTGTGTGTGTGTGTGTGTGTGTGTGTGTGTGTTGAGGGTGGTCTACTGATAGTGAGATCTATCTGAACCCTCAATGGGTAGACACAGAGTTGCCAAAGACACAAAGGTCTTCATAGGCTACTTTCCCATAGAGCAGGCCTCCATCTGCACCCCCTGAGAGATTCTAATTTAGTAAAAGATCAAGGGTAAGATATTTGGGCCAGGTGGGACCCTGACATTTGTGAAAGCATCCTTTACTCTCCAAATGGGCACAGTGCTGATTTGAGAAAGTAAGAGTTTGGATAGCGAGGGGTACCTACATTTGGAAAAACTTTCCAAATGATTCTTGTTCTCCCCTCTCCCTGCTATACATACTGTGGACTTCACTACAACCCTATGAGGCAGGTACCATTGTTATCTCCAATTTCCAGGCAGGAAACTGAGGCTCAGGGGGGTTCAGAAAACTGTGTAAGACACAGCTAGGAAGTGGGGCAAGTTGAATTTTAAACACAGGTCTGCTCTTGGTCCACAGCCCATGCTGTCAACCATTAGGCTCAGGTGCCTCTGATGTAGAGTACCAGAAAGAGGAGGTAAGAGAATTGATACCTGCATTGATCAGGTGTCAGGCTAGGTGCCACAGGGCCACCTTGAAGCAGGCCCAGAGGGGAGTAAAGAGGATGGGGTGGGCATCTGAGAGTTACACCATATGCACAATAGCTGGATAGCTAGGGCTGACTAAGTGGGGTGACCTATAGTGGGGCCTTTGTCAACCTGGGGAGTACTTACCACCTGTAGTACTTGGCCTAGAGGATTCTGTGGGAAAGCAAGTTAACTTCAAACAATTGTCATGTAGGGCAGGTGTCCCCAACCTCTGGGCCACAGACCAGACTGGTACCGGTCTAAGCCTATTAGGAACTGGGCCACACGGCAGGAGGTGAGCTTGAATGTAATGCGCTTGAATCATCCTGAAACCATCCCCACTCCCAAACCCCTGGTCCGTGGAGAAATTGTCTTCCATGAAACCAGTCCCTGATGCCAAAAACGTTGGGGACAATTATTGTAAGGGATGTGTTCTGGGTGGCCAGGAATGATGGGGAACAGATCAATGGAAGGCTTGTGTTCTTTCCGAAGAAGATATTTTCAATATTCAAATGGTACCACCTCAGCTCGAGTAAGTAGCACTCTTCCTATATCTAGAAATGCTCAAGCAGAGACCATACAGTCTCTTGAAAATACCTGGGCATTTCCAAGGTGAAGTCCACTTGTTAGCCTGACCTGTTAGCAGATTTCATGGTGACAATCTTTGACAGGGAGGGCAAGAAGAGCAAAAGTGCATGTGGGAAAAGGAGGGCACAGGTGAGCAAGGGACCTGGTCAAGAAGCATTCATTCTTCACACACACAAATAGTACACACAGATCTTGCAGCTTTAGGGACACTGGGGAATCCCTGGTAGCAGGAGCTGATAGGAAGGAGAGACAGTCATCTCTTAATCTCTGAACTCTTGGTAAGTTCTTGGTTTAAAAACAAGAAAACACCTGCAGGCAGCTGTGGCAGTTACCATCAGAAGAGGAGGCTGGGTTTTGGTACTCAGCTAAAAACGCACTGGAGGCCGTTTCTATGGGATACTGGGAGGGACTGGGATGCTCTGTCATGGCCTCTGTCCCAAGGTTACAAGGACAAAGGTCACTGAGTAGTCTGGGGGACAACTCTCTGGGGCTCTAGGAAAGAGAGGGAGCAAGAGAAGATCTCACAGAAGTGGAGTCAGGTAGAACTGGATTCAAATCGCTGTACATCACCTACTGGCTGTATGACCTTGGGCAAGTGACTTTGGCAATGAGGTCTAGTGAAGACAGTGACAGGGATAATGTGAGCCTTGCTTGGGGAGTGGGAATGGGTGTGTGTGTGTGTGTGTGTGTGTGTGTGTGTGTGTGTGTGTGTAATCAGAGTTACCCAGATGACCTGTATAGAGAGAGCATTCTTAGCCCAGTGCCCAGCTCATGGAAAGTGCTTGGTACTCAGTTGGTGGCTCTACTTTTTACTCCAGGCTTCACCCAGTGTTTCTTCTTTCGCCTCAGTACTTGCTTCTATATCTCATCTGGGCCCGACCTGAATCACTGCTCTATGATCCTATGACTCATAACCTTGTGTCTCCACCTTGTCAAGGGCAGGGTCCCCCAGCCCAAACTGTACTAGAACACTGGAGGTGTGACAAGCAAGAGGGACTAGAACTACTTATGTGGGACAGCTGGGAGGGAAATTAGCTTTTCAGCTTCATGGTCTTGCCATGGACCACTGGGGCTTTCTCAACTACCCATTTGACTCTACTTGCTCAGTTCCTGTTTCACAAAGAAACAAGGAAGTGAAAAGATGAGTGGCCTTAGGGCAAAGGTTGGCTGGCTGGGCGGGGCTTGGCAGTGTCTCCTACTCCCAGCTGAGACAGCCTTGGAGGGCAGGGATAGATAGACAGGGAGGAAACAGCTGCTATTGAATCTTTCATATTTTTTTTGGGCACCTAGAATGCCCAACCACTGATTTGAGAAAGTGACCAGTGAGTTGGGAAAATTCACTGCTGATGTGGTTTAGCTGCATGAAGAGTAGCCAACCCTGCTCCTTCCATGGTCCCAGTCCATGAAAACCTGGAGCCAGCTGGCTGGCAAATGAGTGAGGACTGATTTAGTTATAATTTTTAAAATGAACCATTCAGACTCTGTGCATGTATCTATCATCTTGCTCATGCTCTTTCCTCTTTCAAAAAACAATTTAAAGCATTAAGAAATGTATCTCAGTGCCATCATGACCATTGTTGTCACAGCTGTGTGACCTCACACAGCTCTCCTTGGACCCAAATTTGCTCATCAGAGGCAGTAAGGGAGTGACAGAAACACCCACTGAAAGTGAGGGAGGAGCCAGCATAGAGCTTAGTCAGGACAACTAGGGATTTACTCCTAGCTTTGGCCCCAATGGGCACTATGGCCTTGGACAAGTCAATTCCTATTTCTGGGCTGCTGTTGACATTTCCCCATCAGTACAATGAAGGGATCAAACCCACTTTTTGTTTATTTGGTCAGAGAGCTGCTAGTCAGAACTGATTATAGAGTTTGTGGGACCTAGTGCAAAATAAAAATGTGGGGTCTCTTGTTCAAGGGTTATTAAAAATTTCAAGATTGTGACCCCAGAACATTAAATCAACAGCAGGCCCTTCTAAGCAGAGCATCTAATCAAGTGTAGGGCCCTGTGTTTACTGCAGTACCGCACAGGCAGATGACCCATGAAGCTGGCCCAGCAACTACTTTCAATACAATTTGATGGGAAGCCCATGTGGCCTGCTTTTGGCTGGATCTTTTTCTATGGTAGCCATTGTGACATTTCTGAGGAAGCCTGGGCTCTAGGGAGCAGAGCTGGTCAAACACAAATTATATACTTTCTCAAAAGCCTATCTAGATTTGACGATACTTATATAAAAATTGGGTCCCAAACCTTTTCCTTACCTACCTCCAAAGGTGAGATAAGAGTTGAAGTCATGCTGGACAAACAGTAGCATTATCATCTCTTGTCTATGGGCTTCTCACTGTAACCTCATTGGGCAGGTGGTACAGATCATTTACAGGAGGGGTAGCTAAAGACTAGAGAGGTGAAGGGACTTGCCTAAGGTCACATAGCCAGCAGAACTGGGACTAGAACCTTAGAATCCTAACTCCTAGGAAAAGGGGCTTTTCTACATGGCCTGCTCCACAGGGGCAATCAGGGAGCAAGGAGGGGTTTGTAAGCCCCATTCCCCAATATAAATACAAAGGACCAATGTCCAACAGGGCATTTATCTTTAGTTCATAGGGATGGATGTCTCAAGTGCTCCCGCATATGTTAGCCCTGCTGTGTATACCCTGAACATTTCTCTGCCTGATCCAGAGTGCAACCCCTAAAGCAGGATGGTCAGTATGCTTGGAAGGGATGCTGGAAGAGAGGATCTAGGGTGGCAGCAGTCTCCTCTGCAGCTATCCTTCTAGCGTGGAAGTTCCCAATCCCAAGATGGTGGATTGGAAGGAGCAGTTAAGTTACATGGTAGAGACAAGTCAGAATCCTGGGTCTTGTGCACAAGGGGGGAAAATGAGCCCTCATGGGCTGAAAGGCCTGAGAATGGGTCTTGGTTAGACACCCAGGGCCCTCCTGCTGCCCATAGCCTTCCAGAATCACAGGAGCAATTGTCATGGCCCAAGGGCAAAGGCCTGTGAGGGGAAGGCCTTGGGGAAGTAGCATAGTGTGGAGAACACCAGTTGGGTCTGAGTTGCAGCTGACCAGCTGTGTGATCTTGGTTGAGCCTCAGTTTTCTCATCTGTAAAAGGGTATTAGCATTCTCCTTGCATTTTTCTAGAATGAGTTCTAGAGTCATCTGATTGGTTTGAATGCTGCCATTTTCATTTTCTTGATGAGTAATCTTGTGCGAGTTGGTTAATCTCTTTAAGCCTCTCTTGTAAAATGGGAACAGTAATAGAACCTTCTCATAGGCATGGGAATTAAGTGAGAAAATGCAATAATGTACACTTAAACACTTATTAAGAAGGTAGATATCACATTTAGTTTTCTTATCACAATAAAATAAAAATTTTTAGAATGCTTGTAAAGCAGAGTTCCTGGTACACACTAAACTCTCAGTAGATGGTAGCACTGATGATAATTATGATGGTGGTGGTGGTATCTTTAATTTTACAATTAGTAGCTGTCTTTGGGGGGGTAAGCATGTGAGGGAGCAAAAGACTCAGCCAACAGAGGCCCACTGTTGGGTAGTAGAGGCTCCTAATGAAGATGGCTCAGAGCTGGGGCCTTTGGATGCAAGCATCGCTGGTGACAACTGTCACAGGCAAACTAGGCTTGGTGGTCCCAAGCTGGAGGACTCCTCCACCTGATGCTTTTGCCTAGCACTCTGCCTCAGAGACTTGGTTATTTCCTCCTTCTGACTATGCTCCTCTAAGCAAAGGTGGTGGCCCCAACTTTCCTGGACCACATTTGACAAGTACCCCGGTGTGAGGCTCCCCTCTGTCACCTCCATAAGGCTTCAAGACCTTTAGCACAGGAGGTGATAGGCTGGGCGTGGCATACATGCAAACACAGGAACACTGTTGGCATGCTTACAGGCATACTCTCAAGCACATGTGCTCCCCAACTGAGCTTCTGGGAGCCTCACATCCTCACCCCCATCACACCCCCTCCCCTTCCTCCCCTACCACAAAAGCCACAGGTAACAGCAGTCTTCAGCAACACAGAAGACACAATGCAAAACCCAAAGGCAGGCTTTGTTGCCAGTTGTTTTAATTATCTAGCAGGATGTAAGCCCAGGTGGCTAACGGCTCGGCTGGGCTGGCCAGAGAAAACTCTCCCCTTCCCCAACAATGGGCTCAGAGACCAGGAGGGTGCTGGGAGGAAGGCTAAGGGATTCTCCATAGTGCCAAAGGTCAAAAGAGCTGGACTGCTGGCCCATTCTGGTCTCATCATGTCCCAACCTGTCTGGAGTTCAGTTTTCCTATGTGTAAAGTGGGGAAATTGGACACTAGCCACATAGGTTAATGGTCATCCAAGGATGCTGAAGGATTTAACAGTATTGTTGCTGTGGCTGTACTTTGGAAAGCTAAAAGGGCTCCCACATATTGGAAAATGTGAGATAGTTATTTGGAGTCACTGTTTAGGCTGTTCCTAACTTTGGGTAGGGCCAGAGGGCTTCCAGAGGGCTTCCTGCATTCCCTCCTACCCCATGGCCAAATTCCTATGGCTTAACTTTCTATCTTGTCACTTGGCGTGGAGCGCACCCAGGGTTTAGGAGCGATGGACTCTCATGTTTGGTGGAGGGCTGGTGTATGTGCCTCTTCCCTGGCTGGTCTTCCTGACCCGGAGGTGGCAGTATGCCACCAGAGGATTCAACCACCTTCCCTTCCTCTCTATCTACAGGCCCAGTAGGAAGCCTGGAAGCAGCCCTTGTTCTTTCAACTTATGGGCAGCAACCAGAAGGTCTAAGGACAGGTGGGGGTGGCTAGAGGCAGCCTCAAGGGTGTGGGAAGACTGAGGAGTTAGGAGTCAGTGTGAAAGAACAGCTCTGGTGGTTTTAAGATGGGGCTGTCCCAGGGCCATGGGGTCCCTGGGGGTAAGGTACTGCCCTATATTGGTCTTTGGGGGGCAGAAGCAACAGGCTCTGCCAAGTTATAGGTTAGAGCTATGGGCTCACTTGAGGAAAGGAACTAGCTGGCTCTCTATCCCAGGGTGGGGAGCCTAGCCAGAGGCGTACAAGCCCAGAGGGGGCCTGCCTGGGGCCAAGATTCCCTGAGTCTCTGGGGCTTGGTCCTGGAGAAGGAGGCTGAGGGTGAAGGTTTCCAGAAAATGGGCCAGCAGAAGCTCTTGGAGCATGGGTGGTGCAGGATGAAAGATGAAGGAAGATAAGCAAGAGGGCTAACAGGGCAGTTATAGCCCTCTAGACACTCCAGCCGAGGATGGCAAGAGCGGAGACTGCCAACAGAGAGGCCAAGAAGGTGGTGCGTGGTGCACTTGCAGACAGGGGCTCCGTATGCTGCTGCAGCCACTCAAACTCTTCCAGCAGCTTGCGCCGCTGCAGCTCAGGGCCTACCTTCTTGCGGATGGTCTGGTAATAGTGGTTCAGGTACTGGATCTGCAAAGAGTAGGAGGGATGAGGTCTTCCACAGGGTGAGCTGACAAGAGGTGAGGTTTGGGTGCCATCCAGTCCCTCGCTGCCCACCTTGGCCCAGCTAACCATAGGTACCCCACCTTTGATGTTTTGCTCCTGATTCCCCAACCACATGTCAGGCCACGGGCATTTTTCTGGGGCTTTTTAGAGGCAGTTTGACACAGTGGCAGTTTAATGTCATAGTGACTTTCATGGGGTATGGGTGGAAGGAGAGTGAATTTCGGGCCTGGGAAAGAAAGTAAGTTAATCCATTTTAGGGAAGAGGTGCCTGTGGCCCAGAGAGCGGAAGGGATTGATTTTAGTTCTAGGACTTGAGATGGCAGAGTCCAGAGACCCATTCTCAGATTCCCCAGGAGCTTACTACCGGGGGTTGGGCAGGCTGGTCTGATTGGAGGGTTCTAGAACCTCTGGGGTTCCTACAGGTGCCATCAGTGTGGACCCTCACACCAAGTGGAAGAGGCAGAGGGTCTTGGGGTAGGGAGAGCAAAGGTGAGAGAAACCCAAGGTGAAGACAGGCAGTGGTTCGGAGGCTGAAGGGTAGTCAGTGCTGAGGGGCACTCACTTGCTCTGGGGAGAGCAGGCTGACATCAATGAGGTTTCGGTCATAGGGCACCAAGGACACCACTTCAAAGGTCAGGTAGGTCCCTGGATACTGGGAGGCCACAGGGAAGATGGGAAAGCAGAAAGTAAGTGAGGAGGAACTAGGCTAAAGGACAGGCCGGGACACTCCACCCACAACCCACGGGCACAGGGAACTGACCCTTGTCAAACTCAAGATTCAGGTGAGGCCTTAGCCTCTGACATTGCCCTTAGCTATACCCCTCTCTACCACTTAGCACCCCATCTTGGATGCTTCCCTCCTGATTCTTAAATTTAGACTCAGGACTGTATTTCTCAAAAGTGTGTGCATACACAGCACCTAGAGAGCTTGTTAAATGTGTGGATTCTGAGGCCCAACCCCCAAGACCACTGGAGTGAGAATCTGTAGAAGAGGGCTGGGAACATACAATTAAATAATTTAAACGTAAGTATTAGATTTTTATACTCATCTATCTAATCTCTATCTGTACCTATATATCTCTATGCATATTTCTGTCTATGTGTCTATCAACAGATCTATCTACATAGATAAGTATAAAGAAGAAAAATAGCCAGTAATTTTCACCTCTCACAGAGCTCTTGCATGTATGTGCTTAGAAAATTCAAAGTACAAAACGGTACCCAATAAAATTTGAAAGTCTCCTGCCTTCCTGCTTTCCTTCCTGAAAACATTTTAGGCATATACAGTGTGCATGTGTGTGTGTGTGTGTGTGTGTGTATAAAGTTTTTTTAAATTCATGCAAAATGGACCCTATCATATACTACTCTGCACATTCTCTTCTCCACTGCACCTCAATAATAAACCTAGGAGACCACTCCATCTTAGCACAAGGAGATGCAACTTGTTCTTTTTAAGGGCAATGTAAGGAACTATAGTATGTGGATAATGATTTATTTAGTCAGTAATAGATATTTAGCTTGTTTCTATTCTTTAAACTATTACAATCAATGCATTGATTACCATCAATGGTCACCAACATCATTGCATAGAAACATCTTGGTGACCTTTAGTCACTATATCCAGAAGGTATATATCTGGCAGAGGGAATACTGAGACAAAAAGTATAGGCATTTTTAATAGAAATTTTGATAGATATATTGTCAAACTGCCCTTCAGAAAGGTTGTACCAGTTTGAACTTCCCCCAGAAGTGTATGGGAATGCCTGTTTCCCACAGACCCACCAGTACTGGGTATCATCAAAGTCTCATTTTTTGCCAATCAGATAGGTGAAAATGGTATTCTATTGTTTTGATTTGTATCTCTTTAAGAGTTAAATTGAACATTTTTTCACATTTTATAGGTCATCTGTGTTGATCTCAGTGAGTCACCTCTTCATGTCCTTTGCCCATTTTTTTCCATTTTCTCTATTTTTTGTTTTATTGATTTTTAAAAGATCATAGTAAGAGAAGGACATTCACCATTTTTCTGACACATGTGCCGTGTTTGTGATACATCTTTTGACTATGGTATTGTTTTAATATGAACGTTTTTTAATTTGATTTAGTTAGAATTATCAATCATTTTCTTCATGGCTTCTGAGTCTTATATAGAAAGACCCTTTTCCACCCTAGGATTAAAAATGAATTCATATAGGTTTTCTTCTAAATTTTTTAGGGTTTCACATTTAAACCTTGATTCATCTGGAATTTTATTTTGGTGTAATAGTGAGGTTCTTCGGTTTAATCCCCATCCCCAAAAGATTCGCTATTTGTTCTCCCTTCCATTTATTAAGCAATCTCTCTTTTCTTTACTGTTTTGAAATGCTAGTTTTATTGTAAACTAAATTCCTGTTTCATTTATGGATATTGTAGGGTCTATTTCTGGGCTACCTCTTGTGTTCCATTGTCACACCTGCCTCTCCCATCTCCAGTGTCACACTGTTTTAGTTATGGTAGCTTCATCGCATGTGCTAATATCTGAAAGGGCTGGTTTCCCTTATTGCTCTTTTTTTTTCTTTTTAGAGTTTTCCTAATTATGTAGATATTTTTTAAAATTTTTATTTATTTATTTTTTAGAATGAGGGGAAAGGAGAAAAAGAGAGAGAGAGAGAAACATTGATGTTAGAGAGAAACAATGACCACTTGCCTCTTATACATACCCCAACCAGGGACTGAACCCCCAACCTAGGCATGTGTCCTGACTGGGAATCAAACCAGTGATCTTTCACTTTACGGGACAATGCCCAGCCAACTGAGCAACACTGGTCAGGGCTATGTAGCTTTTTTTATGTTCATTTTTACAAATAAACTTTACTGTCATTTTGTAAAGTTATGAGGGCACCCAGCTAGTACTGCTTAAATTGAGGTTGGATTGAATTTACTGACTAATTTAGGGAGAAATGACATCATCATAATGAGGTTTCTTTCCAGATAGCATCATTTACTTAAGTCTTTTTGTGTCCCTGAGTAGAGATTTCCTCCATGTAAGTTTTTTAAGGCTGTACATAGGTATTTTTATCTTGTTGGTTGCTATTACTTGGAATTGTTACCTTAACAAGCTCCCCTGGTGAATATTATGTGTATTGAGAACCAATGACTTAGGGCAGGAATTCTCATTCATTTAGTCTGGAGTGGGACCCAGGCATTGGCATTAAAAAAGAAATCTCCCTAGATGATTCTAATATTCTAATATGTAAAGAAATTTGAGAATTTAAAAAAAATTTTTTTTGGAGCTAAGGAAGACTCCAAGTAAATTCATGTCCACACATTCAAAAGCCCTTCTCCTTTGACCTTCTGTACACCCTCCCCCACAACACGTACACACAGCCCAAAGTCACTGCCATGCTGCCTAAACCTCCAGCCCATCTCAGTGGCAGTTTACCTTGGTCTTTGCTTCTACCACAAGGGCCACATCTTCAAGGCGGATCCCAAATTCACCATCCTGATAGTAACCAGGTTCTGGAAGACACAAAGACACTGGTGCCATTAGGCAGGGGGAGGACCTGAGCCCAGGCTCCCTGTATCATTTGAGGAGTAACTACAGAGGATGGTTGCCTGGCTGCCTTTGGCTAGTGGCTGGAGCCAACCCACCCTAGTTAGATGTTCATTGGCTACACAGAGTCAACCTTCTGGCCTTCAGCTTCCTCACCATCCCTTGTAGCCCAGTGGTGAAGACTTCAGGGCCCACTTAGGTCCTGAAGGTACCCCCATCTCCTTGTGGCCACTGTTCTGTTATCCTAGCATTTGGTCAGAGACTCTGTAATTTGGGTTTACAGCTGGGAACCAACTCCCAAGAGCAAAATGAGGGTATGGGCTGAAGGGGACTGGGGTTAGGGTGCGACAACATATTTGGGACTGGAAATGGGGAATAGAGGGAGGGCAGCAGTGGAGCACAGTTGTGCCTGTGCCTGTTATGCTCCCTAGACTGCAGTAATGGACTAGTCTTGGGGTGCGGATCGGTGGAGAAGCCCGAGAGTCATACCAATGGAAGTGAACATGCCCTTGCTCATAGTAATGCTGTTGGACTGGAATCCCACTGGCCCTGGAAAGGGAGACATTGGTAAGGTGTCAGCTCTCCAGTACTCACCAGCTTGGAAACTAGCAGACTCCAGGGAACAGTAGGTAACTGGGGTGCTCTGGGCTCTTCTAGCAGCATTTGTCCACCATATCATTGTCTACTTGGGACTGGTACAGACCAGATTGGCTCTGGCTTTTATTTCTGAAGTCTCTATGCCAGTCAGCCACTAGGTATAAACCTGTTACTCCTCTTTCTGGGGACCTCCCAGATGCCCGGCAGGCAGCAGGAATGGCCAGTTGCCAGCATTTCTCACTTACCCCATGGAGCATCACCTCCCACTAGCTGGGTAATCTTGGGTAGATCACTGCATCTTTGAGGTTCTTGGTAATTTCCATAACTGTGAAGGCCTCTACCACATTCAGAAAAAGGGAGGCCTTGAGGGACTCTTGAGGAGATACCTACACTCGTGCACACCCAGGAAGTTGCCAATGCCATGGCCAGTCCCATGACCATAATTGAGTCCAACGTCCCACAAGGCTTTGCGTGCAAAGGCTTCCAACTTAAGTCCTAGAAGAGAGATTGCCCCCAGTCAGTTGGCTACACCCCAGACTGTTCACCTTGCTCCTTCTTGCTCTCTTGTTTTAAAGCTAACTACCAGAGTGCTTGTGGAGAGGGGCTGCTGAGAGGCAGGTAAGCATGTATTATCTTCAACACACTTTATGTTGTACACATTACCTGGGATCATGACTCTACTACAACTTCTCCCCTATATTCATCAAGACACTTATTTCCTCCAGGAATCCTCTCCAACCTGAGCTACCCTTGGATTAAGAGGCAGGAGGCTTGGGCTCAAGCCTAGCCCTGGTTCTCCTACTGACTCTCTGTGCAACGTTGGGCAAATCATGTTCTCTCTCTAGGCTGGATTTTCTTATGTATACAATGTGTGGGATGATGGTATAATAATCTTTGCCTCATCAGCCTCCCCAAGGTGGTGGTCTGGTCTAAAGAAATCAGTGCCTAAGACTCTGGGTCCAGGATGGTCTCAGAAACCTACCTGATGTATCAGCAGGAAAGATGAGTCTTGACAGATCAATATTTCCTATCAACACACGGGTGTATGCCTCCTGATGGGGGAAGAGGGAGAAGTGATGTGGCACACAAGAGGGATAGCCTGAGTTTCCAGCTGCTTGACCTCTGTATACATGCAGATATGTGGGCCCAGACCTTTTGAGGAGGGGGTTGTTGGGAGGGAGGTGCATGCTCATGTGTGCTCACACAGGTCCTGAAAGATGGCCAGAGGAGGCTGTGGGGGATCTGCCCAAAGCTGGGGCTTGGTCCATGCAGCTCTGTTTGGCTGGTCCACTGGGAACTTGTAGATAATGGTGAGCTGATGCATTGAGAGCAGGGGCTTGGAAGGCAAACTCCCTGGGCTGGAATTCTGATTTCGCTATTCACAAACTCTGAGACCTTAAGCAAGCAACTTTAACTTCTCTGTGCCTCACTTTCCTCATCTATAAAGGGACAATCACAGTACCAGTTCATAATGTTGCTGGGAGGAGTAGGGAGGCTTGTGCACATAAGGTGCTCCAAACAGACTAATACTCAAATTGAGGTCAGTGTCCTTATTACCATTATCATAAACATCCTTTAGTTTTCTTAAGGTTATAAGTTTGGGTTGATGTCTGATAATTTGGCAAGTCAGCCTTGTTCGCTCAGGGCTGTTTACCTTGTGGAAAAAGAAAGGAAAGTGGACTGACAGCGGCCTCTTCTCCTGGTCACTCCCTGTGGCAACATGGCAAGTCTTCACCACAGACACACACACGCAAATGCACGCATGCGCACACACACATGGGTTTTTCATCTCGGGCAGCCTGGGGCTGGGGACTTTACCTACTAAACTGTGAGATCCTTGATGCCTAACCAGTGTTGGTTTTTTCTCTGTTCCCAGCATAATGCCTGAGCCACAGTCTGCTTGGTGAATGCATGAATGCAGCTCCCTGTACCCCACCTTCCCTCGAGGTCCCTAGTACACATAGATGAAGTCCCAGCTTCTACACCAGACAGACCAGCCCTCACTGCCTCCTGAAAAGCTCCAGCTCCTTTCCACCTCTGAGACATTCCTTGTGCCATTTCTCTTCCTGAAATGCCTTTCTTCTTCCTTTCTGCTGAGCATAGGGGCTAGGCACACAGATAGCACCAAGTAAAATATTTGTTCATTGATTTACTGAAGTGGGATGATGATAAGCTTGGGCACATCTAAACAAATGCCATTTACATCATGGTTATGTACCAATTTCAGTGAGAGCACACAAGTAGCCACACATATCGTGAAGTTCTATTGGTGGCCTGAAACATCTCTGTGGAGGTACCTGGGAGCACTGGGTTTTGTGGTACTAACTTGCTGTGTGAACATGGGGAAACTACTAACCTCTTAGGTTTCAGTTTCAGATTTTGTAAAATGAAAGGGCTCTTAGTAGAGTGATTTCTTAGGTGTCTCGCAAATGAGGGTGGGTAAAGGAAATCTAGGTCCAATGCTTACCTTTTGGAAAGCAGAGGGGGTGCCCCAGTGGACTGTCCTGGTGATGTCTGTGGTTCCATCCCTGCATAGAAGGAAAATCAACATGTCCAGCTCTACTGAATACCTTGGGATAGGGATCGTGGCTATGTGCTTCCAGTGTGCTTTCCATGGGGGTTTGAGTGGCAGGACTGGGATGGGGGTGGGGTGAGAAGTGAAAGAAAAGATAGCTGCCGTCATCAAATGTCCATCTTCAGCATTTATGCATGAAGGGTCTCTGCAAAGCTATCAAGTGCAAATTATTATATTGTCAGACAATCCTGATTTCCCACAAACAGATTTTAACTCCATGACCCCCATTTTGGCTGTTTATAAACTTTGGTTTGCTTGGGTCAGGTTGATTCTAAAAGGTTTTGTGTAAAGTGGGAGGAGATTGTCCCATTTTTACAGATGGGGAAACTGAGGAACAGAGAGAGCATAACACTCACACATTCAGATAGTTATTTACCATCTATGGAACATTTTTGGCAGCTCACTGGGAAGGAAGATAGGGCAGGCCTGATTATCTCTATTTCACAGATGAGGCAGTTGAGGCCAGGAGGCTGTGTCCCTTTCTGAGCCTTAGTGAAGCCAGACCTGCAGCAAGCACTCACTCTCCACATATTTACTCCATTGTAAACATGGATCTGACCCAGGAATTTGCTCAGAATTCCAGTGAATGAAGCCAGAAGCCAGAAGCCAAAAAGTCTGACTTCCAACCCTAACTGCAGCTGTTCTCCCAGGGTGGCCCATGTGGCCATGCTTGGGAGAGGGGGAAGGGAGAAATGGTCCCAGAGCCCTGGGGACTCCTCCTTGGGAGCAGGTCACAGGGTGTGGCAGACTTCCTCAGAAGGAGAGAAGAAGTGAGGTGACCATTTCCCTGGCCTCACCCTGCTCTGAGTGCACCCCAATCAGCAATGCCCCACAAATTCACTTCCCCTTTGCACATTTGCTGTGTGCAGTACACAAAGAGCCACACTGGTGACTAGGAAAGGCTGCTAGGCTGACTGCCTGTTATGCTGGCCCCCAGAGCTGTGTTCAGAACATGTTAAGTGCCTTTATCATTAGCACATTCACCATTTCTACAGGACAGAGGATGGCAAACTGTTCAAAATTATTTCTTACTCTTCCATTAGTTCTGGCACTCCTTTCCGCCCCCCAGTTTAATCTTCCCACAGACTACTTGCTTCCTAGGATCAGAAGGGAAACTCTTCCAGCTCTTCTCAGCTCAGCTCTTGTGTGAATGATTGGTTACATATTTGGACAGAATGGGGTTAGCCTATTCTGCATGGCCATCATATCTGGGTGGTTAGGTTGTCCACTGTGTAGGGGTAACACGTATAAAGGGATGTCATTCACTTCATGGTTCTGTAATAATTTAAATGCTAGCACACAAGTAGATAAATAGATTGGGGGATTCTGGTACAGGGGGACAGTGCCCTCTTACATAGAAGGTTGTGCATGCCCTACGTGTGGTTTTGCATGCAGTCAGAGGAGCACACACACATTTCTACTCACAGACACATACCCATGCTAATGGGTGTGCCCTGTCTCAGCTTTGCTTTGGGTATCCCCCAAGGTTGCTTTTCTTCCTTTCCTGATGCTTTTGGAGGCTAAGTTCTGACCCCACTCGCTGACATGGTCACCTCACCCATCCAGTTGGGAGGGAAGGGGACTGAGGAGGATAGATGGCAGTGGGCTGTGTCCAGGGTGTGCCTGAGTGGGTGAGAGTATAGGTGCACTGTTTGTGCAGTCAGGCAGGGCTGCTAAACATGGCTATTCAGACTGTGTAATAATATGTGAGCTTAAAAACATTGTATTTGAGCAAAAAGAATCTTTTCCTGTTTCTCACTGAGGTGCTGTATGCCCAGCCCCATTGTTTTGGCCTCTGTGTGTTTCTTACTGAACATAGTCTCCGCCCCCAGTGTAAAAATGGGACAGCTCATTCAACGAAGGCCTCTTTTTTCTCAGATGAAGAATCTGTGCCAAGGAAGGGACAGCTTTGGCCAGCTTTTGGCCAGCCCACGGTGTCTGCATTGAGATAGCTGGACCAGGGCATGATGGAGGCTACGTACCAGTATTGTCCCCCGGAATCCACCAGGTACATCTCATCTGAGGACAGCTTGCGGTGTACTTCCTTGGTTGGGCTAAGAACGGGAGAGATGCTGAGAAAAGGAACAGCTTATCCATGCACTGGGTGGGGCAGAGGTCCTGAATGAAAGCAGAGGAATTCCCTCTCACCCATGGGGGTTAGACTTCCAGGTTGACTCCTTTGGGGAAGTCATTATCTCCCAAAGGACCCCTAAGGAAGTCCACAGCTTCTGCTACTAATGTCCTCAACAAGTAACTATTTGTACCTCTCTTCACAAACAAGGTCCTGGCCTCTAGCAAGGAGAGAAGGAAAGCCTAGAATATGGGAGCTGGGAGAGCCTTAGAGAGTACCCACTGTAGTCATCTATTTTTACATAAGGAGAAACTGGTCTACAGAGGCCAAGGGGTTGCAAAAGGCCACAGGGTAAAGCTGGGAGGAAGCTGGGTCTGGACTTCCTCTAACTTCCTGCTGTGTCCTAGAGCAGAGGGCCCTGAAAAGCCAGAGTTCAGAAAAAGAGGCTACCCAAGGGTGGGGCTGGAGAGCAAGGTCTGGTAGGGCCAAGGAATTCCTGCCTTGGCCAAGGCAGATGAGGGCTTGTGAGATGCCAGGGGAAGGAATTCTGGGATAGACCAAGCCAACCCTTGGAGGGTATCTGACCTATCCTTTCTGTGCCCATGCCACGTTGAGGCATTTGGACAGCTTGATGCCCCAAATTTCATCAAGCAGGTCTACAGGTGTTTTTTCTTTCCCTATGGAGCCAAACATCTGGCTAGTCTACATCTTGGGCCCACCTTAGTTGGTTCAGACTGAGTGACCAGGCTTTTCTCCCAATGTGTTTGTGAGCTAAGAATTAGCTAACACAGCCCTGGTTGGTGTGGCTCAGTGGATTGAGTGTCAGCCTGAGAGCCAAAGGATCACTGGTTTGATGCCCAGTCAGGGCACATGCCTGTGTTGTGGGCCAGGTCCCCAGTTGAGGGCACACAAGAAGCAACCACATACAGATGTTTCTCTCCTTCTCTTTCTCCCTCCCTTCCTCTCTGTCTAAAATAAAGAAAGAAAGAAGAAAAAATTAGCTAACATAAATAACTCACAGGATGCCAAGGAGAAACATCCAACAGCAGTCTTGCATCCCATCCAGATCCCTTAGCTGTGAGCACTTACAAAGTCCCAGCCTCTTGGAGGAAAATTGCTCAGGCCTTTCAATTCCAAGGACCCCAAACTCACCCACTGGACTCCACTCCCCACCCCTTCCCCTCACGGTGCTAAAAGCTTCAAAGCTTTAATATGGACTCAAGTCCCAGATCACTCCCTCCTCTGTCCCCACATCCACTGGGATCCCACTGCAGAGCCACAGAAAATTCTTTCTCTTAAAGTACCTGTAGTGGGCCATGGCAGCATTCAGACCACTAGCAGAGATGGTTTTGAAACTGGGTCCAGAAGAGAACTTTTCTTCCCTGAAAAGTACAAGGCAATGATCTAGTACTTGTACTTATTCTTGAACTTATACTAGAATGAATGGGCTCATTCATATCTAACAAGGGCAAATGAAGGTCACAGCTGCCTCTACATCTGCCAGACTCTCCCAGCCCCACCTCGTGGTTCCATCTTCCCAAGTCCTGACTTGCCACTTATAGAGTACTCAAGCTTAGAGACAGAGGAAATATAGACACCAGTTATTCCTCCTCCACCTCCATTTTACAGATGGGGAAACCAAGGCCTGCACAACTCACAGTGTGTTCATGGTAAAGCAAGAGTGAAGAAACTAGTTCCCTGTATTTAAAAATTTCTCCAGCCCAGGAGCAGCATCCTGCACCTCAAACCTACACTTTGCCTATGGCCTGGGCCAGGCGTGCCCTCAGGAAATTTCCCTCCTCAAGTTGATATTCTCAATCGATCCACAGGCCAGTAAACCTGAACCAGCTTCCCCCAGGGAGAACGGCCTGTACCTGAAGCAGACACTAGGGGGCGCGGTTAGGTTGCTGCATTGAAGTTGTCTGATTGCCATTTGGGGTTGGAGAATGCCACCCAACACCCCCTGCCCAATTTCAGGACCACTCAAGACCCTGCCACTCCTTGTTCCAAAGGAGCCCCCAAATACAAAGAGGGTCATCTTTCCCCTTAAGTATGGAGACCAAGTCACTCTCCTTTCCACCATCCCCACATTAAAAGATAGTCAGCCATAAAGGATAGCTGTGATCCTTCACCCTCGGAATCTGTCCAGCTGCTCTGCCCCTGAGAACTCGTCCACGGTGCCTTTGGGCACGTTCTTCTGCAGCCAAACCAAGTAGCGGATCACGGGCACGGCATCTCGTACCTGGAGCGGGGCAAGCAGAGAAGCTGGCTGAGGAACAGTTTCAATCAAGGCTTAGGGATACACGAGATCAGGTGGCTGCTCTGGGAGCTGAACTTGAAGAACACGAGGTATTCACTGGCTATTTGATTATATTAAGGAATTCTTGTTCATGTTTATTTATATGATCACAAGGTGGTGATGTTTAATTTAAAGAGTCCTTATCCTTTAGAGATATTTACAGATATATTAACAGAAGAAAGGATATTATATCTGGGATTTGCTTTAAGGTCACCCAGCAGCAGAGGGCGGGGAGTGGAGGAAGGGAATATGCGCTTGCAGATAAAATGGGATTGGCCATGACTTGATTACGGCTGAAGATTGATGTGCATGGGGATCATTATGCTATTTTCTCCACCTTCACATATGTTTAAGATTTTCCATAAGAAAAATTTTTCTGACATGAGGTGTTTTATTCTTATTTTAACAGGTATATCTAAAAGAGTGAGCCATTTTCTTGCCAGGGTGAGAAAATCATTACAGTGAACACTCATTTTAACACTTAAATGTTTCAGATGGTGCTAAAAGCAATACATAGGAGTATACCATTTAACATAATAATTATGTGTATATAATTATATTTATATAGTTTATCTTATATAGGATTATTACACATTTATATAATTATATATTTATATGTATATACACATTATATGTATTTAAATGTATATACATACACCCATTTATTTAATATATGATTATATACTATATATTGATTTATATTAAAATGAGCATACTTATTTTTTACAATATTTTATCTATTTTTAGAGAGAGGAGGAGGGAGAGAAAAGGAAGGTAGAGAAACATCGATGTGTGAGAAATCCATCAATAGGTTGCCTCTCGCACACCCCCTACTGGGGACCTATCCTGCAACCCAGGCATGTGATCTCACTGGGAAGTGAACCCATGCATGACCTTTTGGTTTGCAGGCCAGCACTCAATCCACTGAGCCACACCAGCCAGGGCTTTTAATGAGTATATTTAAAATATTTAAACATATTAATCATTTATTAATATTTATTATATACAGTCAGTCCTCCATAGCCACAGGTTCTCTATGCACAGATTCAACCAACTATGAATCAAAAATATTTGAAAAAAATTTCAGAAAGTTGATCCCTAAACAATACAGTTATAACAACTACACAATGGGGCAAAAGTAGGTTTATAGTTGTTTGTATGGAAAAATACAATAATTACTAAATAATAGTACAAGAATACACTGCACACTCACAACTGTAAACTTATCATTGCCCCACCTTGTATTTATACAACATTTCTATTGCATTAGGTATTGTGAGTAATCTAGAGATTATTTAAAGTGTATGGGAGGTTGTGTGTTGGCTATATGCAAATACTACACCATTTTACATAAGGGACTTGAACATCTGCAGATTTTGGTGTCTGAGCAGGTCCTGAAACCAATCCTCTGTGGATATCGAGGGATGACTGTTTTACTTATATGTGTTTTATATATACATATTCTATATTATATATATATATATACACATTATATATTTATTTACATTTATTTAATCTTCAAAACAACCCTCCGTTGTAGGTTATTATTATACTCCTCATTTTACAAATGAGGTAACTGAGGCCCAGATAGGTGAAGCGACTTGCCCAAGGTCACCCAGCTAGGAGGTGAGTGGAGGAGCTGTGGTTTGAACTCTGATACCCTTGCTTCACGGTCTGTGTTCTGAACCATTGTACCATGCTGGAAGGAAGGGAATAAAGTACTGGTGGGTGCCCAGGAATTCTGTGTCCACTTCTCTGTTTCAGTGAAGGGGATTCTTCAGGCTCCCTCTGCAGGGTCTTCTTTCTAACCAATCAGACTGGGAGCTCCAAAAAAGCTATTCTGCCTGCCCATGGACTTACATGGCTGTCCCTGAGAAGGTCTTGTTCCTTGCTGTTTTTCACCGCCTTGGTTATCATCACTGGGGAGTAGGTTTCTTCTACAACTTTATCCTGTCATGGGCAGAGAAGAAGAGATCTGGGAACATTTTCCAGGGCACAGTTGTGTTTGAAACAAGGATTAGCAGAAAAGCCTGGGTGAGGGGAGACTTGCCCATCCCTATGGTGGCAATGACTTTTCCTTATGTGCTTTCTGACTACACAGGTCTTTCCCAGTCTTCCATGGCCAGATTAACCTTCTCTCCCTCTCTCCCTGCCCCTGGATAATTTCCTGCCTCTGGATGCCACCAATACTCTGGGACATATCAGAGCCTGGTCTCTGCCATTCAATGGGCTAATTTTGACAGCGTGAGTTTCCTGCACATATCATACCCTAACATCTGTCATTTATTGAGAGCCTGCTGCATGCCAGACATTGGGTTTTACATACACTATCTCCTCTAAAGCTCCTCAGAACAACTCTTCTGAGGTTGGGACTCTTATCACCACTTTACAGGTGAGATAACAGAGGTCCAGCTTGGCTGAGCAGTTGTCCAATTTCATTACCCAGCCACCTCAGAGCAAAGCCAGGATTCAGTCTCAGGTTTGGTGACTTCAAAGCCCCTGCTCTATCAGGCTGTACTCCCTCTCACTTCCTTGACAATCTCTGAGTTTTCCATGGGCAGCCATCCAGTTCTTCTTCTTCCTTCTCTTCCCAGGGGGGCCTAGAAAGGAACTCACTGCACTATTGGCTGACCAACTGACTATATGACCGAGCAGCTATAGCCTCAATTTAGATGAGGCTTATCAGAGCTGGAGTGGGGCAGTGTCTAACCTTGGTTGGGGCCTGGCAAACCCACCTCAGGTATCACTTTGTAGAGCGCATACATAGTATTGCTGGTCCCAATCCATATCCTCACGGTTTCTGAGGCATAAGCTTGGACGCTGTCATAGACTTGGTTGTAATCTTCAAGTTGCACGCACATGGGGCCTGTGCAGCTGGAGTTCAGATACTGTAGGGTCTCGGAGTTAAAGCGACTCTTGTTTACAAATAACCTGGGAGGGGAGGCAAGACAGGGAGGGTCCTGAGTGTCTTTAAGGACAATGCAAAGGACCAGTGGCCCTTTGTTTCTGGCGGTCAGGGAGCAGAGCAGACCAGATTTAGAGCGGGTGGGAACAGGGATCAAAGGATCAAGAAAAGCTCCAAGCTCATAGAAAGCCTGCATATTGGGGTGGGGTAAGTGGTGAAGCAGTGACGGGTGGAAATTGGAAGAAGTCCAAAACAGCAAGCAAAGGAAAAGGCATACCTGATAGAGGAGTTCGTGAGCAGTGTGTAGGAATAGAAGAAGGGGTTGTAAGGGATGTCACTACTGCGCAGATTGAAGAGCCCTGGGGAAGAGAATGACAGGGACCATTTATGAGGCTTAACTGCCTGGGCCAGCACATTTGACATGCATGCCACACTGTTTGCTTTGGCACCCCAAAGATGGCCAGCAGCATACCTGCTTCATCTACCTTTGCATGTTTCTTAGTATTTGTGAGTGGGTGTGTCTTTGAAGCAGGGATGAGAGCTATGGGCCCTTTGTCCCAGAAAAATGCAGATACCCCGCCAGCAGTTAGTACATAGTTTTAGTGGGTTCCCAGATTATTTGAACCCTAGAGCTGGGGTTAGGTAAGAAGCCCTGGGTCACATAGCGGCAGAACAGAGCTGACTAGGTGTTAAAGCTGGGTATGTGAGTGCCATTGGATGGTGGCTGGGCTGCTGGGAGGTGTTCGTTGGGGTTTTTCCCATTCATGAGACAGAAACCTTTGCTACCGAGGTCAGGCCATTCTCCCAGTGGCCTTGAGGCTGGTCCCAGCTTGCCCTGGGCTTCCTTGTTGCCTTATTCAGCAGACGTGATCTCCTTCCCCCTCCCCTTAGTTCCCATAGGCCATGGCCACAGAGCTCTCAGAACTAGTGGGTACATGGTAGTTGGGGGAAGAGTCCTATGTTTGCAGGGCCCAGTAGGCTTGGGTGTTAGGGGGACTCAGGTGTCAACACATGTCTGCAAATCTGTACTCACAGGCTGTCTCATCAAGCATCGACAGAAGCACAGCAGTTGGGGCCTTGGGATGCTTCTGCATCTGGCTGCGGATGCTAGATACTTTCTCCTGCCAGGTGCTCCCTAGAAGCAAAGGAGCCCAAAGAAAGCATGAGTAACATACCTTCTCTTTGACACTCTTTCTGAGGGGGCTCTCTTAGGGCAATACTTTTTCATTTCTTTAAAAGCAGTGAAACTCTCTCCAAAAAAACTTCTACTTGTGTAGTCCTTAGGGATATGGTCTCTGGATCCAGACTATCTGGGTTCAAATCCTAGCTGTGTCATTACTAGCTAGGTGACTTTGGACAAATTAGTTAGCTCCTCTGCATCTTATTTTGTACATGAGTACAAAATAAATGATAATGGATCATAAAGATAGTATCAGTAGGGTTGTTATGGTGATCAAATTAATTCATATATTTTTAAAAATACATTGAATTTATTGGGATGACATTGGTTGATAAAATGAAATAATTTCAAGTGTTCAATTCTATAATTCATCATCTGTATATTGAATTGTGTGTTCACCACCCAAAGTCAAATCTTCCATCACCATTTATCCTCCCTTTAAACTGAATTGACAGTTATAATGCACATGTAATGGTGTCTTGGGGTATAGTAAGTCTGATATAACTTTATGATCAATAAATATGCATGCAGAACAGAGATCAGGAGAGCAGTCCTAGTTGAAGGGCAAAGGAATAGGGCTGGACCATATTTAAGCCTTATTCCTGCAGTAACCCTGTGATTAATAAGCTACAGATCTGGGCTAAGCACTTCATGTACTTTGTTTTAATTCTTACTTGGCCCATTTTACAGAGTCTTAGGGGAGGCTAAGTGACATGTCTAGGGTCTTATAGCTGGCAAGGGGTGGAGCTGAGATTTGAACCCAATTTGTTTGACTACATGGCTCATACTCATAATCTGTACAGACATTGGACTATCTTGCTAACATTGTCAGTTTCCAAACATGTGCTTAAACTTAGTGTCACAGAGCTTTCCTGTCTGGGATGCTTGTATCCTGATCTCAGGACTTTAGTTTTCTTCTGTTATTTCTGCACTCTGTAAAGAGAGAGTCTAAAGAGACTACCTCTATACAGGGCTAGGAATTTACTGGCAGAAGGTCATAAACTCTTAATAACGTCTTAGTTGGGCTCAGAGATTAGCATAAATAACTTAATGCCATTAAAAACTTTATGCAAACAGGTAAAATGATTCAACAAGAAACAAAGCTTGGGTACGATAATTTTTAAGGTTCATTTTATTTTATTATGCTAAAATACACATACCATAACGTATCATTTTAACCATTTTAAAGTGCACAATTCAGAAGATTGTGCAACCACCACCACTATCTAATTCCAGAACATTTTCATCATCCCCAAAAGAAACCCTGTAGCCCTTAAGCAGTCACTCCCATTCCCATCTTCTCCCAGCGCCTGGAAACTACTAATCTTCTTTCTGTCTTCATGAATTTTTCTCTGCTAGATTTCATACAAATGGAACCATATAATATGGGGTCTTGTTTCACTGGCTTCTTTCACTTGGAATTGTTTTCAAGGTTTATGAACATAACATTTTCGAGACCAATAATGAAGGCAAATTTGAAGTATCTGATACATACAAGCATCTTGAGTAACTAACTTTTCATGTCCTTTCCCTTGCCCTTTCCACCCTTCAAAACCTGAGTTGCTATAGAAACAGCCTTTCATCTCCATAACCTTAGAGGCTCAAGAATTTTGAGTCTCTTCCTTGAGGACTAGCAGCCTACAATGGCTCAGTTTCTTCACACTTGTGGGAAGTGACAAAACTCATGCAAATTGTCTCCCAGTTTCTGGGAGGTTTTTCTCTTTATCCCCTCCCCTTCCCGACATAGCTGTGTCCTTCTTTATCTGAATGAGTTAAGTTTTATTTTTAATTGAACAGCCTTGGATATCAAGTTTCTTTAAAAACTGTCAAGATGCAGAAAGAATGATTCTGCAAGTTACATCAGAACGGATAAAGAAAATTGGACACAATTTTAACTTGTTTCATCAGACTGCTATTTTGAGATTTCCCTCCTGCTTTTTTGACTCCTTTCCAAACAACAAATGTACATGGACCTGCATGTGGAAAGGGGCCTCTCAGATTGCCCAATATTCCTAGGAGTCTAAGTCCATTGGCTCATTCAGGATTCCTGGGAAGGTAGGAGGTTGTGGTGGCCAAGACACTGATTCATAGTCAGTAGCCTGGTCCTGCCAGGGTTTTAGTAACTACTTAACAAGAATCATAGAGCATGCTGCTCTTTTATGACATATTTAGATGGTGTCAGTAGGGTCAAGATTATTGATCTTAGAGTTTTGGGGGTCAGTTAACTTTCCTTTGTGGTCCAGCCGTAACTTGAACCCTAATCTGTGCCACAGACTTACCCCGAGCTTATTTACTGCCTTTGTTCACTCTGCGTCACCCAACCCCAGCAATTGTAAGCCTAAGTCCTCATCACAGGAGGGCTTGAAGTCAAGGTATGAATGATTCAATATGAGCTGGTCTTCAATACCAGATAAGCAACTCACATCATGTTTTTTCTCTCTCCAAAAGGGTATGTTATTTCTCATCTTTCTCTGACTCTTCTGTTTTCGTCATCCCTGCTCCCTCTTGCTTCAATCCTAACATTCTTTATCCAGCATTTTCTAAATATGCTTTTGATTCAGACTCCCTTTTGAAAAGGCCCAGAAATCTGTTTTGTAAACAAGCATCCCAGGCAATTTGAATGTACATGAAAGCTTGAGAACCATTGCTTTGGTACCTCTTAGGAAAAAAAAAATTAGCCAAAATAGCAGCAGCAGGGACCTGTGTTGCTACAGGTTGGGAATAAGAGTTGGCTTGGGGAATTACCTGTGAACTCCTTCTGTAGGGAATAAATGGTCCCATTTGGAAGTTTAGGTCTCTCTGACCCCCATACCAGGTCCACAAGGTTGGTTTTGACGGAAACCAGCTCTCTGTCAGAGCCTTTGAAGGCCATATCATAACTCTTCCAGGTTCCTGCAGAGACAGGAAGAAGTCACTTGTGCCCTCCTCACTCATACCTCAGGAAAAATCATGACACAATTTTCAGGCACAGTTTGTCCTTATCCACTCTGTCTCCTCTTCTGTTCCTGCAGCCCCAGTTGCCCAGAGCCTGTTCAAACAGTCTCAGTCATGTACTCCCACCTTCTTCTTTCCACTTCCAAAGCCTAATTTCCCTGAACCCACCCCAATGCTGTCCATAACCAATTGGCTAAGCTCATTAAGTGCCAATGGCTGCGGGGCTCTCTTTTGGTACTATCCATTTTATTTTTAAAAATTAAAAAAGAAATCCTCACCCCAGGATGTTTCTATTGATGTGTGTGTGTGTATGTGTGTGTGTGAGCGCGCGCGTCCGTGCGCGTGCGAGAGAGAGAGAGAGAGAGAGAGAGAGAGAGAGAGAGAGAGAGAGACATTGATGTGAGACAGAAACATTGACCAGTTACCTCCTGTATGCATCCCAACTAGGGATTGAACCTGCAACCTAAGTGTGTGCCCTGACTAGGAATCGAACCTGCATCCTTTTGGTGTACAGGATGACACTCCAACCAACTGAGCCACCTGGCCAGAACAATACTATCCATTTTAGCTGAATTTCAATGCCACAGCCCAAGAGGATGTTGATGTTCAGGCCATTGGAAATACTGTCAAAGAAGCCATTTCTGAACTGGAAGCCTTTAGTGCATGTTTATGAGGACTCTGTCCTTGGGGTCAGGCTGGCCAGTCAGCTGGAGCCCCAGAGCTCAGGGAGCTATATTCCTGGAGGGAGAGGACTGTGCTTCTTTACTCAGAAGCCCTTTCAACTCCTTTGAGCCTTCCAAGCTGCCTTCCAGAAGAGGGGCTACCAAGTGATTCTAGAGCCTTAATTGGTAGAGTGCTAGGTCACAGAGGATTGTTCTGGGTTAAAAAATGACCTAGCCTATTTATCTGCTAGATCTTAATACTTCTCTGGGTCTTCTAGGCAGGATCTTTGCACTCATGACTTGAAAAATATGTAATCATTTTAAAAAACATATTTTCATTATATAATCCATGAATATATTTTTGTTGCAAAATATTCTGCAACCACAAGTTCAAACACTCTACCTTTCAAGTTATCCTATCCTTCCTCCTACCAAGGTATGTTTCTTTACATCCCAGGGAAGCTGAGTCACCCTCATTGGTGAAGACAAATATAGGGACTGGGGGAAGAACTTACCAATGGAGAAAAGGAGGGGGTCGAAGCCCACACGCCCTCCAGCAGGAATCTCAGTGAGGAGCCAGTTAACAATGGGAGCACTGCCAGCTTAGAGAAAGACAGGAAGGAACAGAGGTCACCTCCAGGGCTAGCACCAGGCCTTCCAGCCAGGTTTCTTCCTGTGACAGCCGTGTCATGTGTGTCTTCCTTGATAGCAGCCTCAAAGTTTAATCATGGCCTTGAATTTCCCCTCCTTCCCATAGGGGCCGAGCATGACCTTGAATGTATCCCCTCACCTGTACATCCCTGAACTTAGTCTCAGTTCCAGAGCTTGGGGGACAAATCCATGCAGCCCTTTTACCTTCCTTATGGAGTTTCCAATTGCAGTCCATCTCCTGCTCAGCCTGGATCCAGTAGCGACTGTCAGTCCAGAGACCTGCTTTCCCCATGGTCACCACTGCAGTTCCTGAGACAGAATAGATAAACTTTGAAGTGAGGGTGAAAGTGATGTAGTTTTTAGTGTATATGCAATACAGTGTTGGCTCTGAGAATGCCCCAGGGGCCTCTAGAGTTTCTCTCTTCCATTGGAAGGAAATGAGGCAGGAGATGTAAAGAGAGCCTTAATGGAAGCCAGCAGAAAGGGTGCCCAGTTTTGTGTTGAGGACCTCTCTTAAGGGAGCCATTAGGACATCTAATAGGAGAAGTGGGTGGTGTTTTTTGTTTTTTTTTTTTGCCATTAGAAAGAGTTGATGCTGCATGTGGGTGCTCTCAGAAAAGATGGTGTAGTCAATGTCAAAACTCAATGGCTCAGAGGAACACTAAGCCAGGGCCTTAGTTGAGGGTGGGCAGACAAGCCAAATCCAGCATCTTTGGGGGGAAAAAAGGAGGGCCCACAATGGGCAAGGCAAGGCAGCTTGAAGCCCAGAGGATGAATGTTTAAGGATCAGCAAGGGAAGCTTGGATTTCCTTCAAGGGGCCAGGGTCAAGGTGGGAGTCCCCTTCAGAAATTGAGACCCTGTATAAGGCCTCTACTTTTGTGTCTCATTTGGCCATGTGAGGTCATGTTTTCTCTTAAAGGACATAGTGCCTCATAGTGCCAAGTGAAGCACTATGTGAAGGGACTCAGTGGGCTCCTAGTGGCTAGACATAAGAATAGCAACTGTCTCAGAAAAGGACCCCAAGGTGTGCTAAGCTGGGCCTGGCTGCAGCAGAGGCAGTGGACATGGGAGGGAAGCCAAGGAGGGCTGTTGGCCTCATGCAGAATTGTGGCTGGTGAATTATGAGATATATGCTCTGGGGAACCTGATGGAGCACCTGCCCTGGTGACACTTGTTGGAGTAGTGAAGGGGAGGCAGAGTAGCAAGAGTCTTCTAAACACAAGGTCCTGGGGTCCCAGCTGCTGAGAACTAGCCACACCAGGGCATCTGTAACCACCTCTGAGTCAACCAACAGAAGCAAGGAGGGCAGGGTAATGGTCACCTGAAGATCCTGTAAAGCCTGTAATCCATGTAAGCCGCTTGTCATGGTCACCAATGTACTCGCTCTAGGAAACCAACAACACCATCGTTAGCCATCTTCATGAACTCGGACCCCACATGGAAGGTTCCCAACTCTATCTCAGTTCTTTCTGGTCAGATTTAACCAGTCCTACAAGCCCAGGCATGCTGGACACCCCTTCCAGGAAACCCTCTGGAACTTTCCCCAGCCCTCAGGATTTTTCCTTTGAACAGCTGTACCTTTTAGAGGCTAAACTACCCACCTAGCCCTGGACTGACTGTTCTGCAAAGGCCAGAATGCAAATTCTGTGCAGTCTGGGGTCATGTCTTTTGGTTCTTCTGAGTCTCTCTCCAGCTGTCCTCCTCTCTGCCCAGTTTAGCACAGTACACCAAGTACGTCATAAATAATTTTTGCAGAGGGTTTTACACATTATTGTATTTTGATTTTCATAATCCTCAGACACAGATTTCGGTATTCCTATCTTGCAGAAGGGGAAACTGAGGCTTAGAGAAGTTCAGACACTTACCCAAAGTTCTTAGGCTTTCCCAGCAGGTGGGAAAATTCATTTAATACTCTAATTGACACTGAAAATTCCTCCTCTTCCAACTGCGCTGGTGTTGGAAAAGTGGGTGGGGTGGAGGGGGAAACAGCAGTAGGAAAGGGTGGGATGGGTGGGCAGGGGCACTATTTTGGGAAAAGCAGTTCTTCTTCAGACCATCTTGTTTCCTGTCTGTTCCTCCTCCCCCAGCCTATACCCCAAACTCATGTAGTCTGGGTCTGTGTATAACTTCAATGATCCATTCATTAGATTATGCAAAGGGCTGAACGGGAAGGGACCTCAGCATTTTCTTCAGTTCAGTTCCCAGCCTACATTCTAACCTCCTAGGGCAGGGTGGCCTAAACATTCATTCTGAATCTGCTATCTAGGAAGTGATCAAAATCCATTCTGAAGTTGTTTATAGTTTTATGGCCCGAGGTCAAGATTTGGCAATGTCTTCCCTCCTATGTAATGGATTGCATTCTTTCAGCTGCCCCAAACTCCCATGTCCAAGCTCCCCACTTCCTTCCCTTTGCCTGTCAAATCCTTCCTCTGCCTTCATCTCCTGAGTCTTAACAATCTGTTTGTAGCCTGTTCTCATAGGCTGCCCCAGGGTAGCAAAAAGGGCAAGGGTGGGGGTAGAGCTGTTACTTACCATGTGGGCATCTGTGTTTGGGATAATGTAGGCAGAGAGATTATTTATGTTCATCTTCTGGCGAAGGGCTGTGAGCCGCACTGTGGTGTTGACCACAGTAACTGGAAGGTACTGACACAAGACAGGAAGACATCAAGACACACACAGACACATATTGCTTAGAGAAAATGACACCTGGGCCCACAGCATCCGGAGGAGCCATCAGCCTCTTCTTAGGCAGGGGTTGGGAGCTGGTAGGGTTGGTAGGCTGGGCCAGCCTGGGGACGGATGGGGCAGCAGCTGATGCTATGGGTTAGTCTAGATTAAGGTGCATGAGTAGAGTGGAAATGGAAGTGTTGAAGAGCTTGGAGAGGGATGCTTTGTGACAGTAATGGGAACTGAGTCTAGGATGGAGGTGTGGGTGAAAATTGCAGGGGAAAATCTCTTTGCATACCTTGGAGGTAGCATTGCCAATTTACCAAACAAAAATACAGGATGCTTACCCAGTCACATTTGAATTTCAGATAAACAACAAATAATGTTTTAGTGTGAGTATGTGCCATGCACTATTTGGGGAATACTTATATAAAATATGCATTATCTGAAATTCAGATATTTGGCATTCTGTATCACATCTGGCAACCCTACCTTGGGGACTTTTTCATATTTCCAGTCACTGGTCTCAAGTGGCGGAAGATAGTACATGAGCACCCCCAGGGTTTTGGGACATTGTCCAGAAAGAGTCCCTCTAAGCCAGACATTTTTGAAAAGGCTGCTTTATCTTTAACATAAAGTATGGGGTTTTTATTTATTTTGTTTTGTTTTGCCCTCTACTCCACAATATGTCCATGTTTGTTTTAATGTAAAAGTAATGTGGCTGGCCCACCCACCTGCCTGTCCCAGTGGTCTCATAAAGTTGACAATGCAAGCAGATGTATTCCTGAGGCTTAGTGGATGCTGGCAGGCCCACTAGCTCTCACCTTTTGGCCTATGTCTGCCTGGGGAAGCTCTTTCACCTTATTCTGGTTGTGGAAAGAATCACTTTGGTCTCCAGCCAATAAGCTGATGACTTTTCAGCTCTAATTTATTGGGCCTTCTCCAGGTCTTCACACCCTAGGCCTCCCTTTCTTGACCTTCCATTGGCCCTTCTAACCTGTCTTCCTTCCTCCTCCCATCTGTGCCTCCTTTTTTGCTGTTCCTCTAGAATTCTTGTTTTCTTTCCTCCCATCCTCCTCTTGGCCTCTGACTAAACTCAGCCAAAGGTTAGCTATGGGCCTCCCACTCTCCCCTCGCTTCTTCCCTCCCTCTAATGGGGTTGGCCAAGTCCAAACTGGTCAGCTGTGGGAATGGGTGGTAGGGAGAAATGAGGGACAGATATCAGACACCTGAGAATGTGTTGCCCTTACTGAGGGAGGAGGTTAATCAGAAACAGTGGCCCCAAATTCCAAAAATCAGGAGACAGGCTGGTAGAGGCAAAGGCTAACAGCTGAGCCAATAGGAGAAGGGGAGGATGATAGAACCTGTGGGGCAGTGTTGAGGTAGGGGCTGGGGTGGGCTGAGCTAGGGCCTCACATGAGGGCTGGTTGAACAGTTTCTTATGTCCTCTCTTCTCAGGTCCATTGGCCTTGCATGGCCCCAGGCAAAAACTAGAAACCAGGAGAAAAATCCAGGGTCACTTGGCAATCATATAGTTCCTAGAAAGTGCAGGGACCTATTCCCCCAACCCTCCTTCCTCCCCTGCAAGTCCTCTATCCTTTGAAACACATGATGCTGTCCAACTCTCCTTGAGGATAAAAATAATCACATTTCATAGGAAATAAGGCTGAATTGGTTGGCACTCTGGGTCACAATCAAAGAAACCTGATTCATTGACAAGTGATTGCCACTTTTGGAAGGGTTTTAGTGCTCATTATATCAATTTTTTCCTTCTAATCTAATTGGATCTCCTCAGGGTCTACTGAACTGGAAAAGTTGTGTATAAATTAAATTTTTGTAATCAAATTTTCTTTGAGATGCTCTAGAGGATCTTGCTAAATAACCACCCTACCTTCATTTTACCCTTCTATAAATCTAATTTCATATACATTGGGCTTACTTAAATTCAAGGCCCACTTGTACCATTTCTTATAATCTAAATCTCTGCCTATCATTCCAGGCTAGTTTTAAGTATGTAAGACAAGCAATCTCAGTCTGACATCATCACCTGGTGGAGAAAGGTGGGCTAATACTAAAGAACTCCTACTATGTGCCAGACACTGAAATCAGTAATTTATCTATAGCATCTCATTTGATACCTGTTAAAAATTCTGTGAGATGGGTATTATTGCCCACTTTCTATAGAAGAGGAAGCTGAGGCCCAGATAGGTTTAGTAACTTGCCCAAGTTTTGCCACAGCAAGTCAGTGGTTTGAACCCAGGCCATCTGAGTACCAAAAAAGCTGAGCATGAGAAGGTAGTGCCACAGAAGGGACAGAGTACATGGAGGCTTAGTTTCCAACTTGGGATGTGCCCCAAATTTGGTGTGATTCTAAGGAGAGTCACCCAGTATTCACTGATCAAGCATTTCCTAAGTGCCAACTGTATGCCAGGCACTGAGCTAAGCCCTACAGGCTCTGGGCTCTAAAAGTCAGTCCAGTGGTCTCTGAAAGTTCTTCCCTCTATCATCCCACCTTTTAGGAGGACCTCTCCAGGGGGTAATGGGGGCCTGAGTATGGGCACTCTCACGGTACTTTTACCTTCTGAGTGGATTGAAGTATAGATAAAAGGAGGGTGACTGGGGTTTAACACCACAAATGCCTTGCTTGGTTGTCTTGGTCTTATAGACTTAAGGGGGAGATGAATCCCATCCTATTGATTTAAGAAAATGAACCCTCACTTCTGCAGGAACAGATTTCTGGCAAAATGGTGGTGTTAAGATGCCAACATAAGAAGCAAGACTCAGCCAACTTTTGTCCTCTGGACACCCAGAATGAGGTCCAGGCTGTGGCTCTCAAGGTCAGGCTCTGCAGCCAAATCGTCTATGGTTCCTGACACAGGGCCTGGCACTGGAGAGGTGCTCAGAAATTGAGTATTGAATGAATGAGCAAAGTCCTGCTGACAGAGAACAAAGGAAAGGAAGTCCTCCCTAAATCTGGAAGTAGAGTAGTGTGGAGGATGCTGAGCTCACAGTTACTGGTAATTATGACCAAAGAGGAAAACCAGGGCACTATATGTATGACAAAGACCAAGCTTTCATTAGGCTCCTCCAAGCCCTCTTCTTGATTAGGCCTTAATTTTGGCCCAGCAATCTTGTCCTTGCTGGGTCTGAATCTCCCAGTATTAGCAAGAATCTCACTAAGTGAGTTTAGAGAGAATCTTCCACCATTAATATCTGATAACCCCTTGATATCTGATCAAATCCCTCACTCCCACCCTTGATATTTGATTATCCTGGCCTGCCTTCCAGAAGAATCTTGTTAAGCTGGTTTAGTAAGACTCTCCATACCCTTGATGCTTCCTCTTAGGAATTTCCCATCCACTGACCCCCTTACTCTGATCATTGGCCATATTTGCTGTATTCAGGGTTGAGTCTGATCTTCCTCCCCTATTTCAGTGTACTTACTACAATAGCCTTGAATAAAATCTTCCTTACTTTTCAAAACATGTACCAATTCATTTTTTTTCATTAACAGGTGGAAATGAAAAGGTGTCAAACCAGACTGGACCTGAGTTTTGAAGGCCCCAAGGACTGGCCCAGGTATTATTTTTCCTCAAGACAGAGAGGGGGACCAAGGGAAAAAGAGACAACCTGCACCCCAGCCCTCACTCCAACCATTTCTGAGTCCAGAGGTGGAGGCCAGAGCTGCCTTCCAGCTGAACAGGTTATCCCAGCATGGGAGGTGATGGAAAGACTGAGATGCACATACCACAGAGGAGAACAAGCCAAGGGCAGCAGCTCCAGGGACCCCAGGCCATGAAGTCTCCAGATGTTGGTGCTGGGTCAATGGAGGGATGGTGGAGAGTGGATAGGCCTCTTCCTTTCCTGTCCTCTTCCTCCACACCTTTCCTAGGCAGGAGCAGTCAGTGGGTAGGGGCTGGCAAATGTGGAGGCAGTATCTGGCTGGTTAATGGAGAGTCTTCCTCTGGTCTGTTTTTTGATTAGATAAAACAGGGATCCATGAATCAGGGCAGGCAGAGAAGCCTCTGCTGGCTCCCAGTCTTCTGGAATAAGGTGTGAGCCTGCCCAGGGAAGAGTCCAAAGATCTGAGACAGAGGAGCAGCGACTAGTCTCAATCAAGGCGCTTCTCCCAGCCCCTTTTAGGTACACTAGCTAGCCTCACCCATTCCTGAATTCCATCCTCCTCCCTCCGGCAAGCTGTTTCCCATTAGCTCCCCAACCCCAGGCTCTGGTTACAGTCACACTTTTGCTGGATCTTTAAAAGGTGGATCTTTATCCTTACTCCTCCTCTGAGGTGGCCTGTGTCAGAAGTCAGTGTCCTCTCTTCCTAGTGCCTGGGAAGTACCACTTCACCCCTCAGAGAAGTTGTTTATAGCTAGAGAGTTACTTTCTTGAGCTGGGTTGAGTCCCTTTGGGAAAGCCGATTCTGTAAAATGCTGCCAGCCACTGGCAGAGGGGAATATTGCCTTTCTCTCGGAGTTGTTAGTACCATTCACACCTGAGAGGGAACAAGACCCAGAGGCCTATTTGAAGGGTTCAGGGGATACCACTAAAGAGGAAAGAAGACAGAGAGAGGTGAGTTTGGAGCCCCCAAAAGACAAATTTTGTTAACTGGACATGGCCTTTCTGCCACAGCTTCTAGAACATGGCTTTGGTTCCTCTGCAGTCACTACTAGTCAGTATGACTCCCCACAAAGGAAGTGGTGAAACTGAGGCCAGCTTTGTCTCCACAGCCACCTCATCAGAGGACAGCTTGCTGCACCAGTGGCAAAGCAACTCCCAGTAAATGTCCTTAGAACCCTCAGCCGGAAAGGAATACTTCTGAGAAACAAACAGGCCCAATGAACAGGTGCTGGCCTAGCCTGGAGAGCCCCAGAGGCAAACCACTTACTCCTTTTTATTTTGTTTTTAATGTATTTGCACTCTGCTTACGTGCACAACAAGTTTAAGGCAGCTTTAAAACAACCCATCCAAATACAATAAAACAGACCATTTCAAAGAAGGAAAGAGGGCTTTCCTGAGACTCCCTGAAGGAGGGGAGTCTAAATGAGTAAGAAGGGTCAGTAAGCTCCACCTCCAGAAATAAAAGCTGAGGGCAGAATCATCAGCCTCAGAGGATAGACTAGGGACAAGGACTATGAGAACCCTGTGTGGCTCTGGGCCTGCTGACACTCCCACTATCTTTATCTCTTGCTCCCCACCATTCCAAGACTGACAATGAAATTATTCCCAGAGACCAGAGGATTGGGGAAATGCCCCCTTAAATAAGGCCCTCCCTCCCTCTCCATAATACAATATTAGTGATACTGAAGGGCAACTTGATGGGGTCATGCTGTGGCGGGGGGAGGGCAACATGGAGAAGTGGGAGAGATGACCCTGTAGATAGCTGTCTAGGACAAACAGCCCTGCCTTCACCAGTGAGCCTAGAAACTAGACTGCCAGGGTTTCAATCCCAGCTCCATCACCCATTAGCTGCTTGGTACTGGGCCAGTGACTTCACTTCTGTTAACCCACAGTTTCCTCACCTGTGAAATGGGGTAATACTAGCACTAAGCTCTTAGTGGTATGATGAGGATTAAGTGGGTTAATGTCTGTGAAGGTCTCAGAATGTATTTGTCCTAAGGAGTCAATGATATATAAGTGCTGATTGAGCCAAATACATAACTAGAACTCATACCCGTCTCATCTGTACCTTGTTCTTTCTGTTCCTGGCATCCAACACTGCTGAAGTGGCAGTTAATATTATACCAAAGGTTAGCTGTGCTGAAGCGCCAACTCGGGAAGCAAATAAAACTATAGGTGTCCCTCCCCATCTTCTGGACTCTGCCCTGGGGATGGTCTCAGAGGCTACCAGGACTCTGCATAGTATTTAGCTCTCTGGTTCTATCTTCAGGGTCCCTGGCTTCCCCTGGGGTCAGTCATGACTCACCTGCCTTCCCCCTCAGTTCCTCACTTATCTCCTTATCTCAAAACCAATGTCTTTAGTCATCAGTTTGGGGGACTTGAACCCAAGTTGGCAACAGGCCTGAAGTGGAAATCAATGATTCAGGGTGGGGAGGGTGAATGACCAAGAGTCCTTGTACCAAAGACGTTTGGAAAGCCACTGAAGTTTCGCTGTGGCCTACACAGACAGCCCATGTCTACTTGTCTTACTTGTCTTACTTTTTGGTCCAAGGCTCACTTCAAAGCCAAATTCTGAAACTGGAGAAGTTCTTAAGGGTCTTTCCTGTTCATGCCTCTGTTTTTACACCCTGATCTCTCCCCAGGCTTGTCATCCTGCCTTCTGATCTGGGTCTGCCCTCTTTGGGCACCAGTGCCTGCCTAACTTCCATCAGAATGAACCTACTTGACTTGAATTTTTCTCCCATTCAGTGGCAGTAGATGCCCTGAGTCATAGTTCAGATCACAGTAACAGGCAATTTCATCTGTATGACTGAGAAAATGCGTGTAAAACAACCAGCTTCCAAGCAACTCTCCTGTGGAGCCCTCTGGAACCCAAGGGAAGCCTGAGAAATGAAGTGAGAGCCAGCAGCCCAGAGTGGCAGAGGACATACTGGCAGTCCTGGGGAGAAGCAAAGGAGTAAATGTTGACAGGAGAGGCACAGAAATGGCACCCTAAGGCAGTGGTCATGGGGAGGGTCAACAGTCAGTGAGCAGATCGGAGGCAAAGATGCAAACAATAGCCTGAGAGGGCATAGGCAGACAGCCCCATGGGCTATTTTGTCTGACATAAGTACTGCTACCTTACCTTTTTATTTGTTTCCATTTAGATTAAATATCTTTTTACATCTCTTTACTTTCAGTCTGTGTGTGTCTTTCAATCTGAAGTGGTTCTCTTGTAGGCAGCATATGTATTGGTCTTGTTTTCTTATCCAGTATTTTTATTGTTATTTTGAATGCAATATTTTCTTCATTCCTGGTTCTAAATGGTTATTGCTAGTGTAGACAAAAACATGTAATCTTGTCTATTTATTGGAAAATTCTTTTATTATTTCTTGTTTTTCTAGATGTACAATTATATAATGAACAGAAGAGATGGTGCATACTTTCTTTACCAATATTTATATTTTTATTTTTTTAATTAAATTTAATTTTTAAAAATTTTATTTACTTATTTCTAGAGAAAGGAAAGGAGGGAGAAAGAGAGGGAGAGAAATATCAATGTGTGGTCGCATCTTGTGCGCCCCCTGCTAGGGACCTGTCCTGCAACCCAGGCATGTGCCCTACACTGGGAATCGAACCAATGACCCTTTGGTTCGTAGGCCAGTGCTCAATCCACTGAGCCACACCAGCTAGGGCTAATTTTACTTTTAAGTTACAGTTGACATTCAATATTATTTTATATTGGATTGGCCAAAAAATCCATATGGTTTTTCTGGAAAATAAAAGACACATTTTTCATTTTCACCAATAACTTTATTGATTTGAATATTTTGAGTATGTCGGCTATCTCCCATGTGGTATAACATTGATTATTATCGATTAATGTCTCGATTTGATTGCTATCAACTTCAACTTGTCTACCCAACCATGGAGCAATGTCCAGCAAGAAATCTCCAGCATGAAACTTCTCAAACCCCTTTTGATATGTTTGATCAGTCACAGCACCTTCTCCATACACTGCATAAGTGTTTCCTTTTTTGCACTGCAGTTGCATTTTTACCTTTCTTGAAACAATGAAGCATAATATGCCAAATATGTTGAGTATTTTCTTCCACCTTCAATATTAAAATGGTTACACAAACATTCACCAATTTTAATGTTTTTTAAAAAAGATTTTATGTATTTATTTTTAGAGAGAGAGGGGAAGGGAGGGAGAGAAACATGGATGCACCAGAGATACATCGATTACTTCCCTCTCATGCACCCACAACCAGGGACCTAGCCTGCAACCAAGGCATTTGCCCTGACTGGGAATCAAACCAGCAACCTTTTGGTTTGCAGGCTGGAGCTCAATCTAGTGAGCCACACCAGCCAGGGGTGATCAGTTTTATAAATGCACAGCTGATATGACAGCTGTCATGATACAATCTAACAAAATTGTTTTGAATGAAGTTAAAGACAACCAAGCGTTACTAGAACCATCTTACAGAGAAAAACAAATGAAGTTTTTGGTTACCCCAATATTAGTTTCTGGCATAGAGCAGAGTGGATAGACAATCATATTCCTTAAAAAGTGATCCCTCCATTATTTTAAGTACCCACCTAGCGCATAGTTTTCTCTTGGGTTCATAGTTTTCTGTGAAGTTATACACAGACAAATATTACTGACTATAGTCCCTATGCTGTATTTTACATCCCCATGATTTTATAAATACCAATCTGTAATTTCTTCACCTTTTCCACCCATCCCTCCAATCTCCCTACCCACTGGCAACCATTAATTTGTTTACTGTATGTATGAGTGTGTTTCTGTTTTGTTTGTTTATATACTTTGTTCTTTAGATTCTGCATATATGTAAAAATTACATGGTATATGTCTTTCTCTTTCTAATTTCACTTAACATAAAACCCTCTAGATACATCCCTGCTGTCACAAGTGATAAGCTTTCATTCTTTTTTATGACCAAGTAATATTCCAACATATATATGTACCAACATTTTTTAATCCAGTGATCTATGCATGGGCACTTGGGTTGGTTCCATATCTTAGCTAGTGTAAATAATGCTGCAATGAACATAGGAATGCATATATCTTTTTAAATTTGTCTTGGGTTTCTTTGGATACATACCCAGAAGTGGAATTCCTGGGTCATAAAGCTCTTCGCTTTTTAATTTTTTGTGGTAACTCCATACT